CTACTACCACTACTACTCCTCATCCTACTGAGACCACCACTCCCTGCGAGACTACTACCACTACTACTCCTCATCCTACTGAGACCACCACTCCCTGCGAGACTACCACTACTACCCCTCCTACTGAGACCACCACTCCCACTACACCTCCTACTGAAACTACCACTACCACTCCATGCGAGACTACCACCAGTGTCCCTGTTCCCCCAGTGACCTCCACCTCCACCACCACCGCTACCGAGACGACCCCCTGCCACGAGTGTGAGGGCACCACCAGCGTCCCGAACCCACCCGGCCACACCACCCTGACCACCTTGACCACCGCCCCTGCGTGCACGACCTGCGGTGGTGGTGGTGAGCAGCCCACTCCTCCCGTTGTGGTTCCTCAGCCCTCTCCCTCCAGCCCTACAACTATCGCTCCTCCTGGAGGACTCTCCACCGGCGCAGCCAGCAAGCTGGGCTCGTCTCTTGGCAAGGCCATGGCTATTGCTGCAATTGCGCTGTTGCTGTAAATGATCTAGCCGATCATGGAATGAGATGGACACGAGGATGAGAAATGGAAGGAAAGGAAAGGATATTAATGTCTACTTATAATTTGATTTTGTGAGGGGGAATGTTGATATGAGCTTGGTGATATGATTGTATCTATTTATCGATTCAGTCTGATAGTAGCTAGTAGCTAGTAATTCGATTCGAACCCGGAATTCTTTTCCAAAATGTCTGAATCCCGGAAAATTCCTGATACTAATGGCATGCCACATACATCACCCGGAATGCACGCCAAAGCCTAAACAAACACCCCTTGCTTGACGCGCAGGTATAAATGTCTTACACTAACTGGACTTCACCAGATAAGCAGAACATCCTGATACTCTAATTATTTTCCGAAACCCAATACCTAAAGCAAAATGTACCTCACCACCATTGCCCTAACCGCCCTCGTCGCGCTCACCGCAGCAGAGGGACCAGTCCCAACTGTACGTCCTCCATTCTGACACTCTCCATTGCAGAGAACTAAGTGTACTTCAGGTCGTACTGCAAATGCGAAACGGGCTCACGGTCCTTAGCGGCTTACCAGGGAATTGTCTCTCTTATTCTGTGCATCAGTGCGTCTACGCTACCCATGCCGCATACCCATGGCAAAAAGTGCAATTGCTGAACTAATGAGGCATAGACCTGTGGAAACTGTCAAGATTAACACGCCTTGTCGGTTTTATGAGTGAGTGCTTCCTCCCCTTCCGATTGATGTGTGCGAGCTGAGCTAATGGATTACTATTCCAGTGAGATCCACTGTGCCGGGAATGGAACGGATTATTCGCCTGAGACGGAGATCCCTGTGGGGGCTGTGGGGGAGGTTGGCAGTGTGCAGTGCGGTGAGGAGGAGGCGGAGAAGGAGGACTACTAGCATTCTGTTAGATTGTTCTTGGAATGGGAGGGATGTAGTTGGTGTAGAGTTGAAAGGCTCCGTCCGCTTGGATATGCTGGATATCGTGCAACCGTCTAATTAAGGTTATTGATCATGAATTTTGTTCTCAATCCCTGAAAGACCATCCAGGCGTCCCATTTCCTCCGCTTGATATCATCTGCTTCGCAAACGAGACCACAATCGGCACAGCACGGCGGAACACTCCATGGGAAGAACCCGTTCCAGCAGAGGAAGATGTGTTCGGTGTCCGAGCAAGTTTCCGAGCCCGTGCTCTCCTCACTTCCATCCTCGTCGTCACTGCCGCTGCAAGATTCCCAATCTGAATCTGCGGAAGCAGAGCCTTGCACCGGCTGGACGTCTTCGGAGACACCCTCCCTGCCCAAAACATCCTTCACAGACAGCCCAACCCTCTCCACAGCCAAGCACCACTGGAACCAAATCCGTGGAGAACTCAGCGCAAAGTCCGACGGAGTGTGTCCGTATCCATCTCGCAGATTCGGGTCGCATCCCACCTGCAGCAGGATGCCGAGCCGTGTCTCCAACGAATCCCCCTCCAACTGGCCGTGCACAGATTCCGGCCCTGAAAACGCCATGGCCAGATGCAGCGCGCCCTCGCCGAGGTGGGACGTTGCGTGCGGATTTGCGCCCCATTGGAGAAGCTCCCGGAGCACCACAACTCCGTGCCATCGTGGGATGCAGGCGTTGTACAAGAGTGGGGTGAGGCCGTCGGCGTTCTTGTGCTCGATGTCACAGCCACTGCCGACTAGTAGATTGATTAGAGCGACGATCTCTTCCTCATTGATGAGCTCAGAGCCGGGAAGCGTATGGCTGACGGTGAAATGGAGGGGGCTGCCACCGAGAGCGACGGAGTTAATGTCGCAGCCGGCGGAGATGAATAGACGGAGGATACGGTAAAGGGTGGCTTTGTGGATGGTATAATTGGTTGCTCGGTACCAGAAGGCATTTCGTACGTCGTAGATCGCGTTTGCTCCGTCACTAATCTTGTCAGATGCTGCCCGGTTCAGAGCTCCAGAATGGACCTACCTGCGGCAATGGTTGGGGTCTGCTCCTTCATTGAGAAGGAGGTCACACATCTCGAAGCGAAGGAGTCGTGCCGCAAACTAACCGGTCAGATTGAACGACGCTGGAGACTGGAAACTTACAGATAAGAGACTCTCATTTTCCGTATTTCGCACGGTGGGCGAAAATTCCCTGCTCTTCAAAAGTAGCCGTAGCGATTGTATGTCATTGGCCTCGACACATGTAAATACAGGCGATGTTGTCTCGACGATCGCGTAGGCTGAGACATGTCGCGTGATTGTGGGCTTACTCAACCCGTCATGAAGCCTCGAAAGCGAAACAAGAAGACCATCTTCTGCCACCTGTGGATTGGGTGCCAGGAGAAGAAGAATGTCAGATGCACGGGCGGATTTCGAGTCAGCATCTTTGGTCCACTGGACCCGGATGGAGACTTTGCCCGCGGGAGAATCTTGGAGCACAACCTGCGATGATACAATCTGCTGAGTAGGTTGCAATCTGTTTCCTCGTTTGTTAGAAATATTGCCTGCGATATGCCGTCTAGAATCACGGGGGACAGTGTTGCTTTTCTGCGAATTCATCTTGATGGCGGTCGCGGCTTTCTCGTGGCTACTCGCGAGCAGACTCTCCAGCTCAGTTCGAACCCACTGCACATCTATATTGGACAGCTTCTCATGTCCCGGTTGCGGGGTCGACAACAACTGTAATGCTTCTCGGACCTTGGATTGGAGCAACATCAGAGGCAGAGAAGCGCGTTTGACATCTTCAAAGTTGTCCCAGTTGTCCATGGAAACTTCTATCTTGTCATCCTGCTTTTCGATGCGTATTTTCATAGCTGTGAGCTGTGCCATGAGCGTGTCGATAGCCTCGAGAGATTGAGAAAAGTCAGGCCGGTCTTGACCTTTCTCTGACCAAGCTGCAGACCTGTCGTCGATATTCGACAGGTATCTGACTACTGTCTCTGATAGTCGACACAGCATCATGAATACTATCCAATCGCTTCTGAACAGAAAGGTCATTGAAGCTAGTCACCGTCAGCCTTGAACCAAAGGTTTACGGGTGGATAGACAACTTCTACCTTCCCAATATCTGCAGATTCATGCTCAACTGCCTCTTGCACCTATCCAGATTCCGAAATGAACGCTCCAACTTCCCTCCAAGCACCAATTTGACTCTTCCTCCCACCATCTTCAGCTTCTGCTTCGTACGACTCGACTGAACATCGAGGTTCTTGGCCACAATGGCGGAGATATTATCATACTCTTTCTCCAGGGATTTGAGAGTTGAGTAGATATGCATAACCGGCGAGGTCTTCTGCAAGCTCAGTGAAGGCAATCTGTTCTGGTACTCATCACAGTAGCGATGGACATTTTCGAGGAGGAACTCCACCTCGTGCATCTCCACCTGCAGCTGTTGGATTTCTGCGGGGACATTCTTTACAGCCGCAATGAGCTGGTATGTTTCCTTTCCGATGCGACATATTGTGTCGATGAGGCCGATGACGGCAGCGAGATTTGCTGTGAGCGATAACGGGTCCATAAATCCATGAACTTTTGTGAAGTTGCAGGTTCACGTTGAGGATGGATGGTGGGGTACGAGCTGGAAACAACGAGGCTGAGCTGAGCGAGGCTGAGTCTTCGTGTTGGTGGGTATAAATATCACCCAATTTCCCATCTAGAAAGCGAACACGGCAAGATTTCATTTCTACTTCAGAGAGCGTACACATTGCAATCAGACGCAATGGATTCTTCCGTCAAAACCCCAGGCTACGACCGCTATGCTGCAGACTTCATCTCAGTTGCGAACGGCCCCTCATCTCTAAACTACTCACAGCCTCCGCCTCAATACACTCCTCGTGATCCGTATTTCATGGCAGGGCAGACACTCCAGACCGCCAAGCAAAGCGAATACTATTATTCCCGACCGATGGCCACACTGGAGTCGGCGAATTCAACTCGGCAGGATGAGTACCATCACTACCGAACCAATCCCTATTTCTATCACAACCGTGATACGCCTCCGGCAGCGGACCGAAATGCGCCAGTAGCGTCGCAGAACGAGTACCACTGCTACAAGAACCAGCCCGAGTTTTATCACCATCGACGTGATGGTTTGAATATTGCTTCGACAACACCTCAAGGCTTCCCGATGGGGATGCAAGCGGCTATGCCTACGGCCACTGAGAATAAACTAGGCCAAGTGGCTCAGCAACGAGGCTTCTACTATACTCGGCCACAGGCGAGGCCTCCGCCAGCGACCGGGCAATTTATTTCACCTGTATGACAATTTTAAAGTCCTGGAAATTCGTATGACTGACAAGGATACCAGCTGGTTTCGCAGCAAGCATTCACGACTTCGATGCGGGATGCTTATTATCATCGACGGGACCAGGGGAATTTACGAAAGTAATGACGGTACATAATGTTGTCTCTGACCTGTCAGTTTATAAAAGAAAGCGGTATCTGGTATACCTTAACGAGCAATGTCAATATCTATCTGAAGTCCAATGACGGAGACTGAGCCCTGGACCACACAGCTGTACATACAAGGCAGGCAATCAGGGACAATCTTGCAATACCAGTTGCAACGAGTTATAATATCAACCGCTGCCTTGCTCAGCTGCTCCACGATCGCCCCACACTTTATTTCGCCGCGTGTCGCCTTCGCGATCTGCATCACGCCGTCTATACAGTGAGCAAGGCGCGAACTTTCCGTAACTGCAGCCGTAGTAATTCCCGGATTATGGAACTTTTCCTCGTACGAGTAGCGGGTCTGGTCCAAACGTCCTCGATGCATGACAGCCAAAAGCTCCAGTACCAGAGACCGAAGTTCTGACGTGTCTCTCTGTGCTTGTTTTGCTTTCCGGAGTAGCGATGGCCTTGCGGCAACAAAACGCATCGAACATCTCCATGCCATGTTCGCAGGTGAGGACGAGTACGGAGCCGACGGCAAGGAGAAGTTGGCAGTTGGGGGATTCGAGAGGTTTGGACACTGCGGGATGCCTTGTTTCACGAGCTGTACAATCTGATGCAGGTGAGAAGGCAGCGTTGTAGTCGTTGTCGATCTGGTCACGGTGCTATGGATGTAGAGGCGTCCAGGCTATGACTGAGGACGAAGTTGCAGTAGTATTAGTTGGAGTTGGTGTTAAGCTGTTGTAGTTGGAAAATCGGGGCTGCCTTATGCGCGGATGCATGGGTCGACGTATCAAGCGTGTCAAAATAGAGAATATCTAGAATATCAGACGGAGCTTTGGGGTTAATACGATGATAGTTTGCGAAGGATTGAAGCCACTGACCTTGGCATACCTTCATAGACTGAAGAGCACTGCTTGTGCCGTCAGGCACCGTAATCTGAGATCAATTGCTGCTGAAACTGCGCCCAGATCCACGTTATGACTAAATTTCTCTAGGTCAACCGTCAATGGTGTGACCTCGTTGAAGAAATTACTGTATCATCAGCTTCATTGTCAATTAGAGCACTGCGAAGTAAACACCTACTCTCGTGTAATGTGTCTTAGAGACTGAAAGTCTCTAACAGAGAAGCACCAGGCGCTGGCAGGGTAAGGCCGACGTCCATTCTAGAAGGCTTTGTCAATATAACTCCCTCACTACTAGTTACCCCCTATGGCGTCTTTGGTGATCTTGTCATACCATCCTTCTTCACAGCGTGCCTCCAACAATTTCTCCTGTATCTGGAAGGAAAGTCCTAGGTAACCGATCTGGAAACCCATTGATCTTAAACCCCTTCAGAACCGGCGCGTCCAAGCTATTTACTGTGTCAGTGATAAGATCGCACAGACTGGATGCGTTATAGATGGCATACTTCTTAATCACCCGGCCTCGACCTGCTTCCATGTCATGGTGATTTGAGTAAACATCTTGCCTCTCAATCATGGAGGCTTGGTTTATGAGAGACGGTGTAGTCATGAGAAAGAGGCAGATGTTCTACCAACTCGCTATCATGCCTCCTTCATGCAGCATCTCGGTGATTGATGGTCCTTTTGCATAATATCTTCTTAGCAATTGTCGCTTACCATCACCAATTTGGTCGTAGTGGAGCTGTGATGTTTCTTCAGCGTCGCCACGCAACATGGCAGCGCCCTCAACCAGGTGGCAAGTCTGCGAGGTAAACATCCCCAACTAACAGCTCATTTTGCGGGGGAAGCCAAGCAGGGTTAGGGAACCGGCTTTCTTCCGTGTGTTTCCAAGTCTCAGCGTGCTAGAAGTGACTGGTTATATCGGCGCGGAGCATAGTTCTTGAGACAAGAGAATGAGGCAGAAACTTGTGGCGGTTGGCGAGTGAAACTATGAAGCGGAGCCTGACAGAGTGAAGAGACTGGGTAAGAAGGGTGTGTCTTCTTTGCCTATAGGCCTCGTTGCAATGGGAAACCCGCGTCCGGGGTACAGTCGCACCTAGTAGTTGCTCCATGAGTGATCATCTCGGACCTGCAAGACGAGGCAGGACGACTCGAATGATGCCAAACAGCAAAGAATCGCTCTGTGGTGTTCATCTTGGGCTGGCAGACGACACCGGCCGAAGCTCGAACAGCCAAGCACTCAATAGCATTAATGCCTCATATTGTGAAACTAGAGACAGGGCAGACGATCACAGTGCACGTAGGCAGTCATGCAAGTCTGATACACAAGGACGTATAATTCGACATGAGAAGACCGCTGTCTTGGATATACCTCTACGATATAGGACAGGATCAGCAGATGCCACTGCGAGCTGCAGAGTATACTTTGATGCGCGGAGAATTATGGACATCGGCAGTTGGGGGACAACTGCTGCCGTGCTGGGCTGACAAGGTTCTGCACTCTAGCACTCCGTACGGAGTATCTGGTAGTTGATTCGCTCCCTCCAGAATGACCGGTCCCGAGGCTTTCAGCTGTGCAAATCATCTCGCAAGCTAGTACTGCGCTGATCGTCCTCGTCCCTTTTGTTTTCTGTGAAGTTCTGATCTGCCCAGTCTTGACGGGATATCACTGCCCCTGTAATACGCAGCAGCGCACATGCGGTATGCACTAGATGCATGTATGTGGAAAGATCGGTGAGAAATCGGCTAATGTTGCTTGCTAGACTGGTACTAGGCAGACCAGCGGTCTCAGATTCTCAGTGCAATAAGACTTGTCTCTGCTAGTTAGATTCTGTATGATTATTGGTCCCTGATAGTCTTATAAGTGTGTGGAGCTGATCGACGATGTCTATCCCCTGCCACATTCATGCAGTCGTAACTGCCTGCAGGAAAGGAATTACACTCTGCTCCTCTCAGCTACGGCAGTGCCGTACCTATCCACAGGATGTATAGCCAGAGCCCTCAATTTGGACGGCTAACACTTCCCAACTTCCCAAGCAACTGCGGCAGGAAGGGTAGGGTTGAAGGGAGGAATCAGGAAGAACTTGGCTGCGGATATATAAAGCTTGCTACAGAAGAGTGGTGATCCTCGATGTATCCTTAGCATGAAGAACACGCTGGAACTACGGTGTAATCAAGGTTCACCCCGTAAATTCATTGCCGTTATGGTAATACTCCGTGTATGCATCCTATTAAACAAATGGAACAAGGACATTCAGTCAATCCCCCTATCGTAGCTGGTGAGAACTGAGACGCAGGTGAAATGCCCGCTGTGCTATCTGATAGGCTGGGATAATTGAACAATGGTTGGCTAGGCTGCGCAAGCCAGCGCGTTGAGTTTCACCGAAACTTGTGCCTTCTTTAAGGACGAAGGTACCCCTGCAAGGACGCAAGGCTGATAAGGGTTTGTTTGTTTATGCTCCGTGCACAATGTGTATGGACGAATGGCCAGGTTGCAGAAACCATATGCATCCTGCCAAATCAGATCCTGATGATCACCACCCCGTTTGCTGGCTGCTTACGTAGAATACGAGACTTCTGCAAATCCAGAACGCTGAATGACGGCGAAGGGTTGCACGGAAGGGGGGAGATCCGGACTCCGTATTTCTTCAGGAAATCTCTCATGATTTCAGGATGCATCTGTCGTGCAGACCGTTCCTTATCTCGACTCCGCACATATTAGTAAAACAGATTCATCTGTCCTGCAATTCCTACAGCCTAGGCACCTGCGTTTAGTCATCCCTCCCCTGAAGTCTAGTCTCCACAGTCGTTTTCAGTCCTCTGCAGGCTTCGGTCCGCAGCTGAAGAGTTTCACCCCCAGGGTGCTATCACAGTGGATCTTGGTGTCGAGGAGGAAGATGACCGTAGGGCTCTGTTCCATCCCTTCCGGCCTATCAGTTTGTTCCTTGGAGGATTCACAGCCTCGTCGACTTTAACTTTAGCCTTTGTTTTTCCAGGCTGTGGTTTGGTATGGTCAAGTTCCAGACGCAGACAGACTATGGCATAGTTGGCACCAGGATCAGGAGAGTTCTGAATGTCTAGTAAGCGAACCTATGGATCGACATCAGACAGGGAATACCAATTACCAGTGAGGCGGTCCTTGACATAGAAAGTTTTTGCCACTAGTTTAGTTTGATGACAAGATCTTTGGCTAAGAATGGTTGGGCTTGTATGCACGGGGACGGCAACATTCATTTCCGGACGAGTATAAGCCAGTGAGGTCATCTGAATAAACCGTGTTTTAGAGTTCGGCTTGCTTAATGAGCATATGCTATAAGCCTGGACTCTTGGAATCCTCCACTGTTGTCGTGGGGATCCGCCGGCTAAAAAGGGAGCCGTTATTCAGGCACGATTCCATTTGGACCATTCTCGGCCCAACCATGGATTCACCTGTAGCTTTGGCGATGTTAGTTTCACGGCTAGATGATTCGTCGCCTGGCGATTGCCAATTTGACTACGGCCGTTAATCCGTCGATTCCAAGGCTACGGTTGCTTCGCAACGTGGGCTAGTCTGAGAGTGTACCAGACGGGTAGATACATATTCAGCAAGCTGGTGAAACGCTCTCTGGATGCAGCATCAGACCATGTGGCAGTGCAGATCCGACGGGCAAGGCGACCAGAATTCGGCCGTGAAGACAGGTTATTCTGGACTGGCCATCCACACCCTCCGTTTAATTAAACTTTCGACATTGGGCAGACTGGTGATGATCGCCTCCTGCTGATCAGTTCTTGGCCAAACGAGGCAGTGTGACACCTTATGACCACCGTCACTGGTCAAGGATGATGAAATCAAAATAATGATATTTATCATCCGGTTTATCTGAATCTAGTTGTGACTAAACCATTGCTGCGCCTTCGACTCGAGAGAGTACGACTACTCTGTAATCGGTCCAATAATAGTTCATCTCTGGAAACATACTCGAACAAAGCAAAAGCCAGTGTCCAGACAGGCACTCAGGATCGATAAAAGTGCGACGGCATGTGGAGGTCCAGTCGATCGCCTGATCCTGAATCCCCAGTAGCGACGGAACGGAGTCTTGAACAGAGTTCCCCTGCCAGCCGTGTCTTGAAAGGCCAAGCTGCTGATTGGTAATCCCCAAGCCATGGCTGTGCAAACTTCCGCTAGTCTTGTAAATGTCTGGAAGCGATTCTGGAGTAACCAGCGGGTCCCTTTGACCAACAATAGTCCACAGATATTCACGAAACATGAAGACTGGAATTCTATTCCATAGTGCATGAGCCAATCAGGTTACATTTTCGGATGGCCTCCGCCGAAGCCCCGTTTCTATCTCCATAAAAGATGCGGACGAACCAGGACCGTTGTGGGGGGTTGACGGAGGCCCGGAGAAGAATGGCAGATGTTTGGCCATTTTTCTGCCCCTTAGACTTTCTGCAGACCGCATTTTACTGAGAATCGTTAGCAAGCTTTTTGACGATTTCCGCTTTGGGAATTCACATATCCCGACGTTAAGGGTCGCATGATTGCTAGTCGGATTAACTTCGGACGAAAGCAGATAGCTAGCCATGTGCCGACACCAAACTTTCCACGATTCGAGACTTCACTGCTTGGTAATATTTGAACGTTTACCTTATGTGTTTGGTAATCGAATAATGCATTCTGACGACTTGGTGAGTGGGGAGATACTCTCCCCACGGGCTCCGCTGTACTGCCCGAGCAGAAACACAGATACTATCTACTTTGTACATGTTATTCCGTAAAGGGGTAATAGTCTAGAGAGTGTTGATTGGACTCGGGATCTGAACTGGACTGACCCTTGACTGCTTCTGGAAGCGAATCGCTACTTTCTCGGAGGGAGGACCATTTCCCGCCCAAGGCGCTTCGATCGCCATTTACCGCCAATGCTTCGATGTTGGTCGTCGTGGATAGGACATGTCATTATTGACTTTGCGCGAACCAAAAAGGACTCCAATAATTCTATGGAATGATCATGGCAAATTCTCGCTTCCAGCAATGCCCCAATAAAGAGCCTTTTTAGATCTTCACCGGAATTACCAAGAACGGCCTTAGCCCCATAGGAAAGTTTAGTTACTACCTTACTTTATACCTGATCAGTAACCACGGGGTACCTTTGCAATCCACCTTCGTCATCATCATCGCCCGCCGGTATCGTCCGGTCCATGAGTGCGGTTTGCTCCGTATGGCTCTAGATAGATACACTGAGGTATGAGCATGAGTGCCGTATCGATAGCTATCGTGTTGCTCAAAATGTGTTACTTTAAGTAAAGCTCCTCCAGTGATAGGCCGCTCAGGGAACTGGGGAAGGTAACGGCAACACAGGTAGTCAGCCACACTTCTCTATTTGACTATCCGCTGAACGCCATTCCTCCCGGAGAAATCGAATCTGAAAAGGATAATTAAGAACAGAGCGGGAAAGTAATAACACAACTGGAACCGTTTTCTTGATCATTGCGTATCCCCACGGCAAACTGGTTGGTGGCTGGCTACAGCTAAATTTTTGGGGGCCAAAATAGGACTGAGAGAAATTCTCTGCATATGGCATGCCGCCTTTAAAGATCGAAAAAATAAAAAGAAATTATAGACCGAAATTGGCAATATTAATATACCCGTCAGAAAAAAAGAAGTCATTCATACGCATGATCATCGTCTGATAATTTGGGTACTATATCAGCTTGGGAATCTGTCAGTATGGATACCATTCCAGGTGCTCTTCGAACGGCATGGATTGGACGAGCTCTCCCAGTAGTCAGGCAATAACGAGCCTGGTCTTATCGCCATGTGGTTTGGATCGTCAACACCCTGTAAGATTAATCTATTTAGTCACAAATAGTCGAAACCACCCGCGAGGCCATCCTCGTGGCTGACCCAATTTCGCCAAGTAGAATTGCACTACTACCCGGCTTTGTTCCGTAACCCGTCTCTATTTGGATCGAAGAAACAGACGGGAGATGCAGCATGTTCATCCTGGCCCCCAAAACCAACCATCAGCAACCAATCACAGTCCCCAAAAATGGAAAGCTGTGGGAATCGTTCAATGAAAATGAATTCGAAGACCATCCAAATCGTGGCGCTCGTTAGCCTCTTGGGGCTGAAATTATTCTCATTCCTTTCGGAATAAAAGCGCTTACTCCTGGTTCATCTTTTTCCAGGAGCTTGTTTCACTTCAACGGTTTTGCGAAGCTATCTGTACACCCGATGTGCACCCGATGTCGTCGTAGTGGTTGTTGTGGGTCTCTGGGGCTTTCAGACTCTGTCAAGTAAACAGAGGCTGAAGGCAACGACGTAGGTCCAGGCTTCGAGCAGATCATCACGACGGGGATCTGCTCGTAGCATAGAAAGAACGGATCAACATCGCACTTAGCACTATTCTGTCTTTGGTTGTAAAGCGCGTCCGCGTCACCGTTAACAGGTGTGTAGTCAAATCGAAAGAAGACACAGGATCTAGTAGAGGACAGACGACATGTTACGCAGAGCGACTTGCTCAAGCAATGCTATTGACGACCAGAAAGCAAGAAACCAGCCAAAAGAGTACGGACGATGTTGGTTGAGCTGTTCGGGTAGAAGAGCGCATGACGGAAGCCGTGGCAGTGAACCTGGGATGCTTACTTTGCACTGGAAGTGCAGTGACCACGTACTAGACAGATAATACCGGAGTAGTAATGATTCTAGTACTAAGGTAAGATTGAGTATTCAACCTAATCAGAAGCTGAGTCTCCGTCCTCACGTCCAGGTCTCCCGGTTCCATTGCGCTTAATTCCATATCTGTTTAACATACATTTAACCCACACCCCCCAGGACTCTTAAGTACCTACTTCCTCACCCTACTTTCATGCCTTGAGCAGCATAAGGTTGGAAACATACCGCTGCCACTTCGCAGCTTATTCTTTCTGCGTTCATAGGTACCTGCAACTCTTGCTGACTTGAGACTCACCGTACACTCCGACTTCGGTTTCTTTACCTTCGTCCCTCTTACTCAGTCCATACTCTATATATTTCCACAGTTTCGCCGTGATAGTTTTCTCGCCGACTTGCTTCTCGTCCTTTCAAAGCCCTCTGGCTCGACTACATCTCGCTGCACTTTTTCTCTGGTATCGAAAAGAAGGATATCGTATACAGTCCCCTCACCAACCGCGCTTATCAACACGACAGTCATACAGCGGCTCCTCGGCAATACGAACGTGCAAGCCTCTCTCACTCCAAGCCACGATTAGGCGATTGATTACCCATCACTTTTCGGGTTGCCTCTGTCGCACTGTGTCATACACCGACGACACCATCTTGCACTATTTGCTGTGTATCCAGCTAAAATTGCTGTCAATTGTCTCTGATTGCTGGGAAGTCAGCTTGACCTTCCAAGGAAGTAGAACAGTTCAACGCCGGTTTTACTATCAGGCTATTGTTAAGAATCTTCTTGGAAAGAGCCCCGGCCTACTGTCTCTCGCCTGGCGCAGTTCAGGCTTGATCCAAGTATGGCACAAAACACGCAAAGTACGCCCCGTCCCAGGCCATCCGTTTCGTAAATTACCAGTCTAACTCATGATGACAGGCTATGGCTGGCACAATCGATCATCACACCCTTTGCAGTCGCCTTCAATAGGCGCTGATCAGCAGCTATACTCTCCTCCGCCGACGCTTCCGCCGGCTGGTTTTGCAGTCGGCTACAATCCCCAACAGAGCTCGCAAAGCTACTATCACCCAGCATCCTCTTCGCAATATCTCTCACAACCGAACCTTCCACATGATCGAAACTGGCCTAGAAGGCAAGCTGGCCCTATCTGTCCGTGTTCTAGTTTAGGCATGAAAGGCTAACCATGCTCATAGTTCTGCTCCACCATATACCTTCCCTTCCCTTTCGGGGAGCCCTCCAGCGCTTCCAGATCATGGATATGCTTCACCGTAAGTTGCTCTGAGGAATTGCGACTAGTTGAATGGTTTACTGATCTTGTTAGTCCACCATACATGCCCCAGCAGTCAAATTACATGCTGAGCCAAAGTCCCTTACTTCCGTAAGTAACCCTTGACGAAAATCAGCTTTCAACTGGCCGTCAGCTGACTGAACTGTCTATTGTAGGCCACATCCGAACCCATTGCCCGTCAGTCCTCCAGCGCACATTGTCGGGCCCGCAGAATCGTTATATTCGTCTCCCGAATCCGTTCCTGCATCCTCAGACGTGGACCGCCAAGTACGAGTTATCAGCTCTCGGCCAAAGCCGCAATGTTGGGACCATGGATGCAATGGTCGTGAGTTCTCAACGTTCAGCAACCTACTCCGCCATCAACGAGAGAAATCAGGGGTGGTTGCAAAGGCAGAATGTCCGAGCTGCGGTGCTGTTTTTACTCGCACAACAGCCCGCAATATCCACGTTGCGCAGGGAAAGTGCAAAAGTGGAAGGGACTCATCAACAGATTAACATTGATTGATATCTCATAGCGCCAGCGTTTAGTACCTCTATATATTTATAATACCAAACCATGCCCACAGCCGACCGCATCGTGACCTCAAAATCAGGTCCTAATGCATCGGAGATCAGATGACTGAGGCACTCAAAGTTCTCCTTTTCTTTTACATCGCGCCGGACAACTCCAAGGATCAGGCGCAGGGAGTGTGAAAGTTCATGAGCGTCATTCATCCACTTGAATTTAAGGAAATTTCATTTGGGAATTTGGGGAATTTGGTTTAGCGATGAGCCTATATCACCACATTGAAGAGTACTCGGTCCACAGACTGGTTTAGAATAGCAGTTGAAAACAACCAGCGATAGCTGACAGAGCATATTTCAAAACAACTTCATTCTGAGTAGACCAATTCCAGAAACTCCCAGAGGACAGACTACCTAGTCAGTAGTCTACACTCTATACTGTATGTTCTAGTTCAGGAAAGCAAGCTCAATGCACGTGGTGCAGGTGCTTACCTCACCGATCACCTGATCTCGCCGTGTCATAAGTGTAAGGTACATATTGAATGGAATCATGACTAGGCGGACTATCAGCATGTCAAGCACTTGTGACTCATTCTGCGCTATCACGATGTCGCCCGCTTTGTAGCTCAATTCTCAAATTGCGATTGATTTGGATTCTTCCCAGCTGCTCATCAGAAGAACTCCTGTCTCTTCATCCTCGTGGCTGTTTTGAGCCTACGGTTTTATTGTCTCGATCGCATTGTCCTTGGATTCGCAAGATGACTTTATCAATACAAAATCTCCTCGGCATATGTGAAAAACACTTCGCTCATCGACATATAGTTAACCTCTTGAATGTGCGCATATTGCAACTTCGACTGATACGAATATAAGGCTCCTTTTTCTTTTTGATTTTCAAGGCCAAATCTTTCGGAGACTGTTATCTCTTTCCCTGTTCTGCTCACTCAACGCGGGTCAAATTAAGTGTGTAAATCATGGCGTCTATCTTCACCTATGACCCTGACCCTCCAAGGGTCTCCTCGCCCTGGTCGACGTCGGGGTCGTCTACTCCCCAGCTTACGGCGAGTGGGAATCGTGGCCTGACGATCCGGACGCGTTCTGCCACGGAATTGGACCGTGCGGATCCAGACTTTCTGTCTGACTATGGGATCACGAAACTGGAGCCGGAACCACAAGAGGGACCCACTGAGTACAAGCTGCATCTACTTCTGCGGCCCCGTCGCCTATACAATTCCATGACCACTGGTCATGTGATTGGCGGTTCGTACCATTCTCGTGCAAGCTTGTCCACCTCAGGACCAACACCATCCAGCTACGAGTCGAGCTTGAGATCGGCTCAGGTGCGCTCAACGCAGAGCCGTCAGCAACGCCTGCAGCAGCTAACAACGCAATTGTTGTGGCGCCTGCAACAGTCGTCACCGTTTCATTCGTCCACAACTGCCAACCTTGTGTTGCCCGTCCTTCCGGAAGCAACCCCTCAGCTTGGCACCCCGCAGAAACCAGCTCGTTTAATTCCTGGCTTGGAGGAGAGTCAGGGTGCTTTGTACGAGATTGGCGTGGCTGATGATGGGACCTTTGTTGGTCTAACGCAAGATGAGCTAGACGAGAGCTTGACCAATCTGCAGATCATGGCGGCCAGTTTGGGTTGCAAGGTTGAGATTCTTCGCAGAGTCATCGTCGGTAAATGCGAATGGGCCGAATGGCCGGAAGACACAAGTGCTGAAGCAGTCGAAACTGGCCGAGTCCACACAGAAAGCCTCTGGGTCGCTGAGGCCCTGGTCAGTCCGGATTTGGAGTACTACGGCTTGATGTCGCATCGTGACGAATTTGGTGGGCAGTCGCACGGTACCCAAACAAAGTCTATGCGCGAGGACAACTATTCCACGACCGAACAGATTCGGGTCTCAATTACTGGTCCGAGTGCAGCCGGCAAGTCGTCTCTGTTGGGTACTCTGACTTCATCTATACTCGACAATGGGCGAGGGGCAAGTCGACTGAGCCTTCTCAAACATCGCCACGAGATTTCGTCGGGAATCACTAGCTCTGTTGCCCAGGAACTTATAGGCTATGCGACAGGAGAGTCAACTAATGATCCCGTTGAGGTGATCAACTATGCGTCTGGAAATGTTGCAGCTTGGGACGACATCCATGCCACGGCGAAGGATAGTCGTCTGGCATTTGTGTCAGACCTCCCTGGCTCTGTACGCTACCTCAAGTCTACCTTGAGAGGATTGATCAGCTGGGCACCTCACTACGTGTTGCTCTGTATCCCGGCCAATTGTGACGAAGAAATGGTCCAGGAACCTGTCGGTGGCGCTGCAGAACAGATGGCAGAAATCAATCTGGCTCTGTCACACTTGGATCTCTGTATCAAGTTAGGGATACCCACCGTGGTCGTGATCACCAAGATGGATGTTGCATCCCGTGCAGGCTTGCGGGGCAATCTCACGAAAGTCTTGTCAGCGCTGAAGCTGGCAGGCAAAAAGCCTGCTATGTTGCCTGTGCAATCCGCTACCGGTGAACAGGGCCTAGACCTCCAACACATCCGCCGGACTGATGCAGATGAAGTCAAGAAAGTCATTGGTGCAGCGAATAATGACTGGTCGTCGACTGTTCCGATCGTTCTCACGAGCGCTGTCAGCGGTACAGGCATAGGGAAGTTGCATGCTTTTCTCCGATACCTTCCTATCCCCCAAAAGCCGCCCCTAAGGAACATCGTTCTAGGCGAGACACCGTCAGATACGCATATTCCCATAAATTTGTTCGACATCGACGAAGTGTTTACCATTCCTCTATCCAAAGTATACTCTACGTCGATGGAGCAGAACGCAAGGGATAATCAGGGCGTGGTTCTATGCGGATTGGTTCGTTATGGATCTATCTCGGTTGGAGACGAACTCTTGGTTGGACCGCTACTGGTCAATCCACAGGCCGAGCCCGAGAACCTCTTGTCAGCCCCAAGAAGTCAAACGGGGCGGAGCAGACCGCCGTCTGAGGAGTTTTCTACGTCTTTTTCACAGGGATTCTTGTCCGGAAAAGCTACTTTCCCCGCTCAAGCAATCTGGCAACGCGTGCGAGTCGTCAGTGTTCGGAACCTGCGGTTACCGGTGCGAAGTCTCACTCAAGATCAAGTCGGCACGATCGGTATTGAGCTCCTTCCAACTCAAAACGAGCACACTCCGCGTTTGGGAAAGGTACGAAAAGGGGCCATCCTAGCCGACTTTGCGCCCAGCGGCTCGCCCCAAAAACCTTCCCTTTTCCACACTGGATTTGTTGCTAGCTTCCCCGCCAGCGAGTTTTCGTCGTCCATGTCTCCGCCTCTACTGCTAGGTGGCAACGCTATTGCCTATGTTTCCAATATTCGTGCTACGGTGAAGGTGACTTGCGTCACTCTTGCGGAGGATGAGATTATCTCTTCTCCGCCATCGCCTACGGAACCGGACTTCTTCAGCTTTGACAGTGATGCTGTTGATCGTGGCAAGGGCCATGCATCAGAAGTGAATAATGTGGTCAATTCGGCCAAGAATACCAGTCATGGAGATGTCAAAATCTCATTCTCCTTTGTTACGTCAGTTGAATGGGTAGAATCCGGTTCTCGTGTGCTTGTCGTACCTGGCACTTCTACAGTGTTGTCCCCTGCGCAAGGCTCCGCACCACCTTTAGGTCTTGGGGGCTTTGTTGGCAGAGTCTGCGATGTTGTATCTTCGGAACTACAGGAGAGTAAATGATACTGGGGTAGGCTAGAGTTCAATCAACCTTCTTGTTTGTGTTGTGCTTTGTGCTTATTTTGTCTGTTATATTTCATGGAGTTCAATTCTCAGCTTGATGCTTTACCTCATAGTGTCATTAGGTATCGACATCTGCACTCTAAGTCAGTAGTAGGTAGCACTTCTAGGTCTCGGGTAAGCTAGCCTAATCACCCCAGGCCCATTAAGTCATTAAGGCAGTCCTGGAACGGCACACCAGGTCTCCCCATTCACGAGTCATGGCATCTCCTGTAGTCTCCATTCACCCCATCTCATCTAAACAAGCTTTCGAGCATTCTATTCACTAAATTAGCTTTATTCTCAACCTTAACCATCATTCCTCTGCTTGTAGGCAGACCTTGTAGCCTACTCCCTATCCAACTTGACATGTCTGTCAGCTCCTACGCTGTAAATCCTGGAGTACATCACTCGACAAAGGTTGGCAGCACTTATATTTGCCTTTTCAAATGAGGAACTGTTGAAAGGGGGATAGTCCGTTGACCGTCATCGTTCTATGAGACCTCTATCTTCGGTAGTATCAGACCTGGAAGATAGATTCCACTCCCAAACCGGAGTCTCTTGTTTCCACACTGAGAGCCATATCGGAGTCCCCAGACCTGGAAGACCCTGGTGGGAGCCCATCACGTCAAGGTCATAAGAAGCTATTTTCTGTGAGTCCCCGTTCTACGTTCTACTCTCCTACAATCCGTTGCGATCTGCTACCCCGAGCCCATGTCTAATATCATAACCATGGATTCTTCAGGAACGGCCCCCGGTTTCTGGATGTACGCATTTCCAGAGAGAAGCTGTCAAGATATACACCTCGATAGCAGCTTTAGTGACAATCTGCCGGTCGAAACTCAGCAATGATGACAAGTCATTCGATCTGGCTCATCATCTCCAGACGGCAGTTCTAATAGCGAGTATGTATCTTTATTCCATCTGATACTATACAATGTTTCTATTGTCACTGACATGCTTTCTATCTAACAGTGAGAGCCCAGAATGGAATGACACTGCCGCCATTGCAAGCCGACATGTCAGCAGAAATGACAGAGTCATGCTCAAGAAGCCAGCAGGAGTGGCTCAAGGCAGCGGGCCTTGAGCGAGACAACTATCAATGTGGTGTCATTAAGTTGTGCGATCCTGTAGCCGAGCAGAAATACCCCTGATAAACTTCGGGAGGACATTGCAAACCGAGCTAGCCCATATCATCCCATTTTCTCTAGGCAACTGGGAAAGGGCTGAACAGGTTAATCCCATAATAGCACGTTCCGTCTGTATCCTGGGCGAAGGGAAAGCTGGCACCTTCTGTGCCTACATGCAGTTAAACATCAATGGGTAAGTCCGGCGCGGCTCTATTACAAACTACTATATGGTTTGATAGCTAATCACAATCTAACTGATACAGCTGTAAGAGCTTCGCGATTTAACGGCCATCCAGCCTGGCTGGCTCGAATCCAAGAATTAGGGCCTGATCCAACTGTGGGAGTGAGTTGGGCCCATTGCCAGCTCTAGTACTATGGCAAGCGCCAAGCACTATTAAGACAAGGTTAGTCTCTATCCCCAGTATGGTCAAGTACTTTCTAACAAGTACTTAGGCGAAAGAAATCGCCCAATGCTGAGAAACATTATACGTTTCGTTTCCCAACATCAAAGACATAATCAAGCCAACTACGATAAACACCCCGGCAAATGTGATGGCTGCCAATCCATCAAGATTTTGGCAATCTGAAGATTACATTCCTCCCAACCGTATGTGTTTCTCCAGATTATAGAAGTATTATATGTTTACTTGACCAGGTTACAGAGAACACGTATAGGATCAAGACATACCGAGAGTTCCCAAGGTGAACCAACACCTGCCTTACCGCAATCAGGATGGCGAGCGACCTGTCACCTTTAATCAGCATGCAGATTGTGAACTACCAATCCCAGTACTCCTTGCCACACATGCCGCGATTACTGAGATCCTCCATGCCTCGGGACAAGCTGAGCAGATTGATGAAACTCTGATATGAGTACGAACGTCCAGAGACTTCTTCTCTCACTAGTATATGTTCATTAGAGGCTATACACTGCTACCCTGGATCAAATTGTGCAGCTTCTAGACCGGGGCCTCGCACAGGTGTCCTAAATCTCTTCAGCTTGTCAGCATTGAGGTCGCAATTCGGCATGGACACATGACTATTCAACTCGAAATAAGTTGCTAAAGTATTGCACCACCATGAGTACGTGCTTTAAGACAGAGGGAAACAACGTCTTCTCTGTTGGGGAATACCTACTGCGATGTAGAATACCTACTGCGATGTATGTATATGTGACTATAGACAGATGAGTACATTGTCTGAAGACTTTTTTAGCCTTGTGGTATCATAGTTCTATACAGGTACTATGTGAGAATCTTGCCAGGTACCAACTTAAAAAGGATGGAGCACCTGCATAAGGAATTATTACACCTAATATACATGCATATTCTCAGAAGGAAATGGCCCATTGCCGTGGTTCACTAATCACTCCTTACATGCACCTTAGATGCCATTCTTTCTAAGATTCATTTGACCTATAGATACCCAGCAATATTATGTTTTCCAAATTCTTGAGTCACTTTTCTATATAATCATAGCTATTCATATCATTTTTATGCGTATGGATATGGAGTGGTGGAGAGGTTATCCTTGAGCAGATTACCTCTCTATATTGCTTGATGTAGTGGGGCATATGGAAACGGCACGTGCGGGTCTGGGGTAGAGCCTAAGGCGCACTAAAGTCACGACTGGCTGGGGCAGCCTTAGTGCCTTAGCAACACTCTCACTCCACCTCATCCAAACAACCTGGCTCTCAAGCTATTCCTCCGGTTGAACAGCTTCCTTTGCAACCTTATGTGGAACGCATTACTTCTCTGCTTGTGGGGAGACCTTTCCAGTCTCCTCCCCTATTTAATGAGTAAAACTTGAAACGAACACACAGTAATACTACCTACCAACCTGCCACCAGTCCCGGCGGCTGGTAGATCCCGTGTTGTCCTACGGTTCCTCTACCCTGCGTGTTCCTGCCAAAGCTTTATTTGCTACTTTGGACCTCTCATCTCTGCCTAGCGGATGCTTCATCTACATCAGTGCAAGCGAACGGTCGTGGATTATTGCCACCAGCCTGGGCAGTGCTCACTAAATAAGAATGGTCAAGGATATAGCATCACCGTCAGAAGCAGACCTCATACCTGAGGCCATGACTCCAGTACCACGGGGATATCACTCCCAGGGAAAGGATGAATCCTGCGAAGTCATGTCGCTAGCTGACAATCTCGCACAAGTTGTTTCCTTGGGAGCAACATCGGAGAATGCCAATTATGATGATGGGAGTGCCGTTAAGACGGCGAAGCGTTCCACTAGGGAGGTTTCGGTAGCATCCACGAAGAAGCCTCTTCATTTACTGGGTTTGCCCATGGATATTCTTCAGGACATCATAAAAGAGGTAAGTTGGCTTTTGATCAGTTGGGTTCTCTTCCCTGCATAAGCCGTTACCCGGTGATCATTGTCTCTAAGTCCAGTATTGATCAGAATCCCACATTCTACAGGTGACTCACACGAACGATCTCACATCACTCGCTCTGACGTGTTCTGCCCTCCATGCTTTGGCGATTCCCCAAATGTACTCTCGATTCGATATAGTATGGCCCGACACTCTATCGTCTTCGGATCACCCTGCTGGAGTTGACGCTCTCTCATACGGCCTCGCAACGCTGGTGATGGGAGAAGACTTGTTCCACGAGACTCCGTCCACCGGCCGTTCACCTTGTCAGCATTGCGGTTGCGATGGTCGGCATGGACAGATGCCTAATCAACGTGAACGAATGACATTAGGCGAATCTGTGCCGGCACCAACACAACAAAGAGCAATGCGGCAAATGCGGCGGGGGAATTATTACGCCCAATACACTCGCAAGTTCTCGGTGGGAAATGGCCCTTTAGCATGGGTCCAGGAATACGCTGTGACTAAGGAGACGGGCAAGATGCTCGGGACGCTGGTTGCCCTGGCCGTGGCTCGCATGGTGAATCTGGAAACATTTATCTGGGATATGCCGACAGGTGTCGTGAGGGATGTATGGATGGCCCTTTCGTCCTTGGCTAACCGTCCTGGCCGTGACTGCCGTCTGGAACGCGTCTGGGTTCGCTGGCATGATAATACTGAAAATGCAATGCGCCCCGCGTCAGGTTTACTTCCGTCCGCCTCAGTGTCACCTCTGGTCCGATATTCGCATGTTGAATATCCTTCTCTATCGATACTGCCGCCTCTGAAAAGCTTAAGTGTGCTCGACATCGATGAGCCATCTTATCTTGAAGAAATGGCCGTGCTCATCGATCGCTCTCGAGATCGTCTGACTGAGTTACGAATTGGGATATCCTCAAGGGTATACCAGTGCGATTGGCTGAAACCTCGAAGCGCCGCTTCTGCGCCGGAGGATGCATCCGATGAGAATCCACATAATTGGCCTAAGGCCGGTGGTGTGCTGGAACTCCTCTTAGGAAAGTGGCAAGATTATTTAGGTCACGGGGAGAGTTCTGTACAGTCTTCATCGATCAAGAAAGGCTTTACCGGAGAGCAAGTGATGTCGCACGACGAGTTGATTGAAACAATCTCCGATGGTGATAGTACTAGTCCAGAGCCCCAATCACCGAATCATCTGACGGGAAATAAAGTCGCTGCATCAACTACAGTGCAGGCTGTCTCTGAGACGTCGGACAAGATGCCGTCGGCATCTTGCTACAGCACATCTCGTACAGAAACAGAATCTGACCGAATTCTGAGGCTAGAGATTCTTGAATTGGAGCGCGTTTTCCTATGCATTCCTGTGATTCTACAAGCCATTGACTGGACACGAGTCACCACATTGACTATCCTTCGCTGTGACGGGCATGAAAAACTTTGGAGGGCGCTCCGTCGACAATACGCCCCTTCGGCTTCTCGAAATACTCCAAATTATGCGATGCATCAGGATGATCAGGCTTCTCAGTCTGAGTATCCTCTAAGGATAAAGCACATTCATACGGACTCTGTCTCCCCTTACCTATTGCTATTTATCAAGGACGCCATTGCCCGCAACACACTGGAAACCGTCTTTCTGCACGAGGCCCCCCTGTACGACTCTATTGTCCATATCGAGGCAATCTACAGGAATATCATACGGGCCCACCGCCTGAGTCTGAGAAAGATATTGATCGATAGCACCGAGCGGTCGCCCAACGGAACTGAGGTGGGCACCAGTCGTTGGCGCAAGTGGATGTTCACACGTAAAATGATCTCGTTCATCACCAGTGGGCGCATGCCAAAGCTGCGTGAGCTGTCCATGACGATCAATTCCAAGGACTGGGTAAGTTTCAATCCACATGGTTCTCAAAAGGAATTCGCTGATAGTCTTTTAGCACTATTTCCTTCAACGACTTCCCTACATTCCTCATCTCCGAGCTCTTCACATCCCGCACATCGCCAATCCTGTTCATCGGAGCCCCAAAGAATTGGCCTTGCAGATCTTGGATATCGTGACTATACGACCCGAGGTTGGGATCGGCTACATCGGAATTCAATCCAAGTGCTATGAGATCGTCGAGAGTAAGCGCGGCAACAAGGATGACGACCTAGATGATACAGACGATAGTCACAGCGAAGGGTTTGTTCCAGGGGGCGGACCGTGGCCAGCGTCTGACATGAACGAGAGCGAGGATGAAGATGGGATGGACGGCGTCATGGAGTCGAGCTCCGAGCTGTCCGACTATGGGGCTTCATCTGATGATGAATCCAGCTCCGACTGTACCCGATCCCGGACGACGTTCAAGCTCAGAGAGATCTTGTTTTATGACGATAAAATATCCATATTTAAAGCGCGACACGGTGTTCTGTAGGGCTTTTTCAGAGAGTGTTGACGTTGGCGTTGGACTGGCTTGTTCTTTTTTTTGTACGAGATACCACTTAGCGATGAGTCGATATGAAGATGATGAAGCGCACTTTTCTATGGGCGACATGCTAGCGATTTTAGAATGCATGTAAATCTTGTACAAGATCATGTATGCGTGTTCGTGAGACGGATAGTTTGAATTCGAGGTCACGTGCTCTAGAGCTTCGCCGTTCCTCGCAGGATCAGCTTTGAGCCGCGATCACATTTGGGACATCAATTCGCAAGAGACTTGGCGGAGACAACTGCCACTCTTCCCGCTCAACTCTTCGTTTACTTCGTCTTTTTCAGCTACATTTCTTTCTTCACACCTTTCGGTCAAAAGGAATCCGTGTGTTTGCACATTAATACCCGTCAACATGAAGCTCGTTCGGTGAGTACATTGCAGTCGAATTAGAGTCTCGATGACAGTACTGGGCTACCAGAAGACGAACTGACATATGGATTGTCCAGGTTTCTGATGAAATGCGCCAATGAAACGGTGACGATTGAACTGAAGAATGGTTGGTCTTTCTTATCCCGGCGGATGTTCACTCCCACACCTGGCCTTCAACCGGATAGGATACCCGTGGCTTGAGTTCGGCGCGACTGACGCATCACTCTGAAAAATAGGCACAATCCTCCACGGCACTATCACCGCCGTCTCTCCTCAGATGAACACCTCTCTGCGCACCGTCAAGATGACACCCAAGGGCCGCGATCCCATTTCCCTAGACACGATCAACATCCGCGGCTCCACGATCCGGTACTACATCCTCCCCGACAGCTTGCCTCTTGATACCCTGCTCGTGGACGACCAGCCGAAACCCAAGAATAAGGCGCGCAAGGAGACGGATCGGGGCCGCGGTCGTGGCGGTGGTGGTCCACGGGGCGGTAGAGGCCGGGGACGGGGCCGGGGACGGGGACGCGGTTTCTAGACGGGCATTATGGCCAGGTTCTTTTCCGTCTATGGCTTCGGGAGTTTACTTGTTTTTCTTTTCTTGTTTCGTGATATGTTTGGGTGATATTCTCTTCTTTATGCTCTTGTGATGATGGGCGAAGAAAAGCAATTATCTACGACTTTTTCGTTGAGCTTCTTGGTTTAGCGGTGATGTCCCAGCAGGCAGGGTGGTGGCCCATGGATCCGAGGGCAGATACGGGTTGTTTCCTGCAATGCTCTTGTGAGTGGTGCTACATGGATGTCTGTGAAGACCGGCGAGAGTCTTCGTCTGGGCAGATCGGCAACGAGGCGCAGTGGACACAAGGTCAGACTAAGCTCATGGTGCCATTCCCAGCCAGAATCCCTTCATGTCATAGAGGTACGGCAGTGCCTCACTACCTGTACCTACATCAATTCAATCAACATTGAATCAAAAATCCTCAAGGGCGCTAGCCCGTATGCATGTCGTAATGGGTATATAACACTATTGAAAAACATCCCTCCATATCCTCACAATCACCAACTTCTCCCACCCAGCCTGGGTCCCACTATTCCCAACCGACTCGGCCTGCCACCCCCCTCCCCACCCCCGTATCCTCTCCTTGACCTCCTCCGGCCGGTTTTGCGCACAGAGCAGCACATAGGCCACCCCGCGCTCGGGATGCAACACGTCCGGAACCGCCTCAAGCAACCGATTCGTCGTCTCCATCCCATCCATGCCCCCCGCATACGTTAGCGACAGGTAATACGAGTCCCGCTCGAACTTGGCCGATCTCGACAGCGGCTCCGCGGCGGCCTCGGCCTCCTGCTCCGTCACCAAGGGCAGACGCGGCAGTTCCTCCGTCGGTACATACGGCGGGTTAAAGAGGAGGACATCGACGGAGCCCGGCCGCAGGGGGCTGCAGAGATCGCCCAGCACCGAGGCGATATGTGTGGATTTCAGGGCTGCGGCTGCTTGCCGCTCTTGGATGGCTGTTTTCACTGTAGTGCGGGTTGCGAGGCAGGCGTTGCGGTTCACGTCTGTGCCGAGGGTAAGGATGTCGCGGCGGCCGAAGATCTCGTGGGAGTTGGCGGCGACGAAGGCGAGGACGACGCCGGAGCCGGTGCCGACTTCGACGACTAGCGGGGGGCTGCTGGTGTTGGTGCTATTGAAGCGCGCGGAGAGCCATTGTGATTCGGAGGCGGAGGAGAGCGTGTCGAGGAAGAGGTAGGAGTCTTCGGAGGGTTCGTAGATGGTATCGAAGGAGACGTGGTCTGTCGATGGGGTGGGGAGCATTTTCAGCCTTGCAACCTTTGCAATTCAGTATCTATATCGATAGTGAAGCTATCGGCCCGAAAAGCTTGACGCTTCAATTGTCAATGACGGCGTGGGCTGTCGTCCAATGCCTTTGAATATAAAGAGGTACACCAAAGGCAATTAAGATAGCGACCTGATCACAGTTAACACTCTCCAATTCCAAGCGCCCTCTTTCAAACAAAACTTACCTGCTGCACAATGGAAAATGTTCAACGGTAACCGCTGCGGAATGCCGACACTATGATTCGCCGTCTCCTCGCCGCCTTCCGGGATGCATCTCCAACCGCGGCAGTATCATCATCATTATCATCATACAGTCCTCAATCTATCTCAAGCAATCCCTCAAGCACTCCCTAGGCCACCTACACCATGCGTCTCTTCCACCGATTACTAATGGCCACACCCTCAACAATGGGCTCCAAATCTAGCCTCAGCGAAGCCCTCGCCCTCCTCCCCCCACTCCAGCTCTACCGCCGCATCCTCCGCGTCCACCGCCGCAAGCTCGACCCCGAGATGCGCATCCTGGGCGACTCCTACGTCAAGAGCGAGTTCCGCGCACACAGGAACGTGGAGAATCCGCTGCATATTGTACGCTTCCCCGTTTTTCCTCAGGTTAAGTTGACAAGTGCTAAGGCGTGCAGATCGGCTTCTTGACGGAGTGGCAGCTGTATGCGCAGAAGCTGGAGGGTGATGCGTGGGTTGGGGAGAAGCTGGATAAGTCAAAGCTGGAGAAGATGAGTGGTAGGTTCTACGTCTACAATCCTATATGTTGGGTTCGGGGTATACTGATGCTGATTTGTGTCTGTGGTTGTAGATCAGCAGATCGGGCAGCTGTATGAGCTCATGCAGGCGATCAAGAACCCGGATGGCGAGGGGAAGGAGTGACGATGATACCCTTTCCTTCAAACCATCGGCTAGGGTATGCAGGGTGGAAGGTGGACTGTTGTTCTAGCGGCAACGCTCGAGTTGAAGGACGTCGGTGACGACCTACGGAGTATGAGGATCTGATAATCCTCAATGTATATTATCATGCATTGACACAAAAGGCTTGCTATGGGTGGATGGCATTTCTCGTTTTCACGGCGTTGATATACATGTATATATTTAGCTTGCATTAGTTCAGCGTATGGGATTTCATGCATGCAGCTGGCTCTGGGATTATAAGCACTAGCAATGCAATTGACCTTCAATTAGCTTCAGTTTAGAACATTCAACCATAAATTCCTCGGTAGTGCCTACATATCAAGCGTTGTGTATATCATTATCAACTACAACTCACGCCCTACCATCTACAAGCAATGACTAATCACCTTGACCAAGAAAAATATACTTCGGCAGTGGCTAGCCCCAGATAAACCGGACCTATATATACACTGAGCCATTCCCCTGCAAAAGAAACACCATATTCCCTACCCAACCAAGCAAACAAAGCAAAATGCCATCCAAAACAAGTATAATGGAGAATCCGTCCTCCAAAATCCCCCCTCCGGCATCAGCCCTCCAAAAAGCGCCAACCCTGAGACCCCGCCGCGCACTCTTAAAAGACGGTACACCCGTCACAATGTACCCCATTGCGCACGGGGCCTCGAGCATCCCGTCGGACCTGGTGGCGGTGCTCGCTGACGAATTCCGCGCGGAGGTCGAGCGCGGGTGCACTTATCCGATGGAGGAGCCGATGAGCGAGGACAAGTTCGCCGACTACTGGTTTGGGACGTTTGCGGTTGTGGCCCTGACGGGGGACGAGGAGGAGATCAGGGAGGGGAGGGATTGGAAGAGGGAGTGTTTGGGGACGTTTTATATTAAGCCGAATTATCCTGGTAATTTTACTCCCGCGCGTACAGTTTGATTGATGGGGATGTAGTGCTGACGGGGCAGGCCGGTGCTCGCATGTCTGCAATGCGGGATTCCTGACTACCAGTGCGGCGAGAGGCCGGGGGGTAGGGATAGTGATGGGGGAGACGTATCTGGAGTATGCGCCCAAGCTGGTAGGTTCCCTATGCTTGCTGCGTATGTTGCGACAGAAATTGAGCAGCCATAGGGGTACAAATATTCGGTCTTCAACCTCGTGTTCGAGAATAATGTCGCTTCCGTCAAGATCTGGGAGAGACTTGGTTTTGAAGTCATCGGGCGAGTGCCCGGGGCTGCACGGTTAGAAAATAGCGAAGACTTGGTGGATGCATTGATCTTCGGAAGGAAACTGGGGGAATAGATGCATATTTAGGGTATAGAATTTGATGTAAATAGAACTAATGTACCCGCAAGGTATCACAATGTATTGAATAAGAACCATACACCGAAGAATGATCTGTAGTCCCTAAGCACAAATAGCACAATCCGCCGCTAAAACAATGCGAATGGGGGAATCAAGCAAACCCAGCCTGTCCTCAAACAATTTGGTATATGACACCGCAAAGAACCAGCGAGCCGTATGTATGTGACTCTAAAATCAAACAAGAAGAGGAGAGGTTGCAGATTGAGCGTAAAGATGAATCAACGCCAAGGCGGTCGGTCACTGAGCTTACTGCGCGAGTCTCCACCAGACCGTGGCTTGGGAAGAGGAAGCAGACTGACGCGCCGGTTGCCTGTTCCTGAATGGCCAAGCGAAGTCCCAGGACGAGTTGTCTTTGTCGGACTCAGCATCCCTGAATCGTGCGTCTGTGAGACACTGCGGCTGAACGACATTCCAGCGTAGCTCTGTCGGTTGCGAGGGGTATTGGTCAGGCCAGCTGGGCCCGCCTTCTGAAGCTTACTGTATGGAGGAGGATCGAGAATGGAACGGCGAGGGGACGGAGATGACCCCCGAACCGGGCTGCGAGAGGCGAGCCTGCTAGAGACACGGCTGACGGATCGGGAGGTCGGAGGAGCAGGAGACGCTGACTGGTCTCGTCGGTGCGGGCTCGGCATCGGCAGAGTGGACGAGGGTCGCGACGTACGAGCCGGAGCAGAGGATTTGCGGAACGGCGTGCTGGACCTGTAGACGTGACCGACGTCCAGATCGTTGGTGTTGGTGCAGGTGGTCCACCGTGGACGGTTGTTCAGCGGGGAAGGCGGTGGTGGCAGGCGCGAAACCTTCCGCGTCGCCGGCGTCGGAGTGATGGCCGTATCTTTCTTGCTAGGGGACGTAGTCGAGAACGTAGGCTTGGGGATGGCTGATTTCAGAGCCGAGGCCGCCTGCGGGAGTCCGGAGTACCGTCGAACCTTGGACATAGTAGTCCGCGTGGCAGAACTACCCACAGAGCTACCACGCCTGCTTGAGGGGTTCAGTGGGGTAGTTGAGCCTTTGAGACCGTTCCCGGGCGTCATGATCACCGACGAAGCAGGGGAGCTATTGGGGGTGTCGACAACACTGCTCGCAAGGGGGCTGTCCATCGTGATGATGGTGGATATCGAGTCCCGCAAGTGCTGAGACTTGGCGAGATTGAGATCGTCCAACGAAGAGTCCATCACCTTGATACTTGCTTTGAGAGCGTCGATCCTGGACGACATGTCTGACAAAAGCCTCATAATCTCTCCATTCACAGTGAGTCGATCCTTGACACCCTTTTCAATGATGGAGATCACCCGCTCAATGGCAGGAACATAATGGACCTTCTTCGCTTCGTAGCTCTCGATTCGTTTCGTTAAGCCAGCAGGATTGTGCACATGCAAGCCAGTCTCCATCCCTTCCTGGAGCTTGGCAATGCTTCTCTCGACCGACTCAAACATCTTGTGTGCTTGTGCGCCAGCGTTGCGGAAGACCAGAATCCAGCGGTCCTCGCTGAGCTCTTTCCGCAGAGCCTCCGCATCGGCCTCCAGCATTTTGTAGCTCTTCACCAGCTGATTTCGCCGGTCTTCCAGCTCCTCGCAGGCACTGGGGAAAATGCGCTCAGCCCGTGATTGGAACATGGACAATCTCATGGGCAGGAAATCTAGAGAGGCTTTCAATGGCTGCATCCGAGCAAACAAAGCCATGAGGCTGGAATGGGAATCATCCTGAGGGGTCTGGATAATCGGCATACCCAAGGGCGGCACCTCCGAGAAGATGGGGCCCATGCTGAAGCGTTTGCTGACTATGTCGCCATTCGACGGGGTCTCCTCAACGATTGTCTCCAGTTCATTGATGTCAAGCCCGTTGCTGGTCCCTTCCTGCTCATTCGCCAGGGTGAAATGTCGCTTCTCCTCCATTTCGAAGATCAACCGACTGAGATTCTCAATTTCCATGCCGACATCGCCAAGGACATTGGCCCATAGCTCTTCCCACTCCATGGCTAATTCTACCTGCTCCTTGACGCCCTTCAGTCGCCCTTTGATCTGCGCCCAACTCTGTATGATAGAGTCCATTTGAACGACGATCGTCTTCAGACTGTCCGGGCTGACGTTGCTTATGTCTTGACGCAGTTGAACCTGTTCAATAGCATTGACATAAACGTGAACCAAGCTCTCGAACCGTGTGATGGCTTTGTCCACTCCCTCTAAACCTTCTCGTCCGCCGGCTGCGGCCCACTCCACATCATCCTCCGCATCCAGGCCACTCAACACATCAGAAGCTTTCCTAATCCATATCTGAATCTGCTCGGCAGCCCCTGTCAATGCCTTGACAGCAGCCGGTGCATTCGAGATCCCAGCGATACTAGCCGCCAGCGACGAGGGTTGCGGAAGAGTGATTGAGGTGAGCTGCGAGAGCTGATTACTAAAGGACGCTCTCGAAAACGAATAGATTGATTCAGTGCGTTGCAAGCCCTTTGGGTTGAAGTATGACTGCACATTCGATGAGGAACTGGACAACGGAGGAGAGTCTTTCGGGGGCGGTGACGGGCGAGGTGATTGCGCTTCGTTGTCGCTGGTACTCTGAATATATTTCTCAAAGTCAGTCTGATCGGGAGTCTCGGATGTTGTCGCGGACCCAATTGCCAGCGGCATCTGAGACTGCTCCACAGCAGACATGGCTGGTGTCTGTTCCACCGCGTCTTCGTTCTGACAGTCCTCTTGCGAATCTTCCTGCGGAAAAGCTACCGCCGCAGCGGGCAAATGTTCAGGGTCGTTATTCTCAAGCGGTACAGAGGTATGCGATCCAGGGTTCTCGATGACTGGTGCCGCTGGCTGCGGATCTGTTGGTGTTACCGATCGTTCGGCCGAACCGTGCTGTAGGATCTCCGACGCTTCGGAAGGCGTCCGCTGCGTGTCTTGCTTCTTGCCAGCTATCTGCAAAGCATTCCAAGACCGGCCCCTCTTTTCAACCTTGATAGACAAGTTCTGATGAAGATTGTCAAGTTCCTTAATATGTTCCTCCGGAATCCGACCGACGTTGCCCGGACTGCGAGACGGTGTCGAGACCTTGCTACTACCGTCCAACAGTTTCACCCGCGCGGCTAACCCAGGAGACAAACGACGTAGAATCGAGGGCCGGACAAGACTTTTATCGAGACCGCTTTGGTCCTGGCTGTCGTAGCCTTCGTCTTCGTGGTGACTACTGCCGAGGCTCCGAATACTCCGCAGGGAGGATTTGGACTTGATCCGACGGGGTAGGGGTTCGTTCTCTGGCAAGGAGACCGATACGGCAGGACGAGGAGGCGGCGGAGGCGGCGGCGAGGATACCTGCGACGTGAAAGGGTCGTCGCTGTTGTTGCTATCGGGGTTCGGTGTGGGATCTGCGAGCTGGCTGGTAGCAGTGGAGGCAGTCGAACTGGAGAATAAGGCGCGCATCGATACTAATCCACGAGGCGACCGCCCTGGCCTGGTGTCGCAAGAGCTACTGTAGAATGTAGGTACTGGAGAGACGAAGATGGTGGGCTGAGGAATGCAGATTGTTTGGCTGCGGTGAACGGAGCTAGTGCTGTCGGGAATCCTGAGTTGTTCAGGTGTCCACCGGCCTGCTGCTGTGCGGTACGGTGGCCTCCCTTCGTCCCCCTTTCTGTTTCGCCGTGGGAGAGAAACAGACACCCCCTGCGGCGCAGATAAAACTGATTATTGAAGTGGAATTCAGGTGCAGAGGTCTAGAATGATCTGAATATTTTGTTTTCCGGTCTGAGAAAGATCAATAGGGAGGGGGAAGAAAAGCGCGGTGCAACTACATCATAGATGTGAAGGTGATAGGTGATAGGTGATAGGTTGATAGTTTCAGCAGACAACAAACAGTAAAATACGGATACAATTAACTAATCTGAGTAAAACGCAGGGCGCGGCCTGTCCTGCCTCAGGCTCACCTTGCTTTGCCTAAATTCACTAAATGACGACGTTTAATGGTCGATCGCCTGCCCTGCCGCAGACGATCATAATTGCAGCTAGCTATTTTCTCTGCGGTAGGGGTCATTTTGCCCTTGGGAGTTCTTCTTGCAGGATAACCTTATCATTAATTTTTTCCCGTTATTTTCAGACTGAATACTTGAGTATAATAACCATAGACTAGACAGTAGTAATGGTGCGTCCTAGATGTATATTTGCTACCGGCCTTCTACTTAACCCAACTTGAAATCGCCAATCCCACCCGAAGTAAATAAACAGAGAGAGTTTGGTCGGCCAGAGAATCCATTCAACCGTGGAACCCAAGCAGTCAACCGTGACGTAAAACAAGCTCGTTGGATTTCAGCCCAACTCATAAAGTACCGCGTTGTAGAGGATGAGACGATAGTCAAATGTGCAACCAGTCCGAATCTAAAATGGCTGGCCAACCAATAGGCAGATATATGCTTCAACCAGCAGTTGAAACCGGTAGAAACAAAGCCAGTTTGTATGCAGAAATGAAAATGTGGAAAAGCTCAAGACGACAAAGTAAGGGGTATCTAAATTATGGATAGCAAACAGAGAACTCAATACGTGGTACCACTCAACCACTCATTCCATCCCATGCCCCCTTGCCCCTCCCTTTCAACCTAGGGAGTTCAGGAACACTGCGCCGGTATATGTAACCTGCAGTCTGTACTGTCAGTATCTGTAATGTCATGCAAGATCGCCACCTCCCTGACTATCAGTAGTCGGGGTACATGCAGCGACCGGTGCCATCTGTGGCTCACGCCAGTCTCGTATCAATTCTTCACGGACTGCCTGGCACCATGACAAAAGAGCCCTGTCGAATTGCCTCCAGGCCTCATCGCTGGTACCGTTGACAACGCCCATCACGTCCATTTCCAGCTTCGTCTCCCATCGGATTTCTGCGGCCTTTAGCCAGAAGCGAAGATTATCTGCACGTCTATATGGCTTGGCAACGTCTTGATGGTACGACCTGATCTCGCCGAATGGTCGCTTGGATTTCTTGACCGCCTGGTTGTGGATGCGGACGAGGTCTCGGCCGTCCCGCAGCCGTTCAAGAATCGGGGTCGGCAATGTACCGTCATCGGTGGACGTCCACGTTGGCAAGGGGGTCTCGGATTCTAGCAAGCTGCGCAGGAACGATTCCTCGCGCTCCCGTTCTCGCCCGCTCCAGTCGCCCTTCGCCCAGTCCCATCCTTCGCGCTCTTTCGCTTCCAAAGCCTCCAGGCTCTCCTCTCTGGCGAGCATCTGGCGCACATTTGACGCCCAATCCATCATCGACGATCGCTCGTCCTCGCGAAGACCCCCGGCGAAATTGCGAGCGGCCCATCGCTTCAGCACCTCCAGAACATGAAACAATTCCTGCCGGATTTCCCGCTCGGGCTTGATCGAAGCTAACCGCTCGGGGCGCTCATGCGCCGTGTAGTAAACCTTGGCCGCTCGGATGGCAAGAGTAACCGCATCCAGAATGCGCATGCCCTGAATCTCATGCCATCCTGGCGGACCATTGCCTGTACCTGGCCGCGAAATCATTCCTGTATCTTCTCGAGATACACTGATCCGCGGTGGCACCATCTCCGGCGGGGGCTCCTTCTGCGAGTCCAGGTCCTTGATGCTCTTCTCAGCCTTGTCCACCGCATTTAGCAAATCCCTCCGCAGCGCCGGGACATCCGGCGGAGGCGGAATATGATGCGTCTTCACGCTGTACGTGCTCACAGTCGGCGGGAGCATCATCTCATCTTCCAGATCCTCCTCACCAATATCCGAACCATATTCCTCTGTCGGGCTCTCCGTCAAATCATCGATGAACCGAGCATTAGGCGTCAACAGGAGCCGAGGCTCCTCCTCGGGTTTTTTCTTCTTCTTCCACTCGCGCGCATGGCCCCCCTTGCCGTCCAGCAGACCGGTTCTCGCAAAATAGTACTGCAGGTGGGCAATGCTTCCCAGACTCATCACACTTTCGCGATTCTTAGCCGACTCGGCGAATTCGGCTCCCTGTGGCCGGATGTACCCATGTCGTCTCGAAGAGGTAGAAATCGAGGATCTGGCATCGGCGGATGTGGCGGACGAGGTCGACAGGGACGAAATGGTGGAGAAGGTACGATCAGGGGATGGACACGAGGAGATCGCAGGCGTTGCTGGGATGGAAGGGGACGGCGACGAGGCCCTCACAGGCGCGAGGACGGATTCTGAATCAATAGTCTCGTCCATATTTTCTCAATATTGAATTCCTGGATGGCCGGTTACTTCACTCGGCTTGAACCTATCGATATAGAAACAGATCGGACTCAGTTCGATAAGGCGATATCTCACACGAGGTGGAGAGGACAGATTGTTATCAAGGCGGTAATGGTCCCGTATTTTTTTTGGAGATCAGACGTTAATATCGGCCGTGGCCAGATTATTATTGCTTGGTCAGTGTGTGCCGGTCGTGGTGACGGATCGACAAGACACTCAATAATTTGTTCGAGGTTCAAAAGGGGCTTTTTTCCACTAAAGGGGCGAGCGGGTCGAATAGTCCGAGAGCCAACACGTCGATTATCATGGCGATTCGACGTATTTATAGCAACTCCCCATTTCATGTCTTTCGATTACTCGTACATTGCAGAGTATTCACCGTCTGGGAACTGTCATTGTGTCTCTGCTTTTTCTCGATGGTTTCTGTCCGTTATCTTGTGTCTCACTTCGATTGCTGGGGGTCTTATCCTCTCAGGCACACCCGCCTACCCTTGTGCCTTTGTTGGTACTTTGCCAGAACAGGTCTAGTGTCGCCCCGTACCTTTGCCCCGCATTCGACAGTTTCCCGTCTGGTCCAGAGGTTCGGCGCGGATAGTAATCGTAAGGCACATGCACCCTAGGTAAGTGTATTTATTCTAGAAGGATCGAGGAGAAGGTTGTCGCGAGTCACGACACTATGATATTCAGACACTTTTGAGAGAGGAGAAGCCCTGGATGTAGTCTAGGTATCACTGAACTCCATACTCCCAAAAACCAAATGGAAAAATGATCAGACCAATAGAACGAATGAACCCCCCTGAGACTCCTCGGTAACAAAATGAAGCAATTGAAAAGACAGGCAATCTATCACATGCAGGCTTCAAATGCTTAAACAGACGCAAAAGGAAAAATATCAAAATGAAGGGAATCAAATCACCTCGTCTCTCTCCCATCCTGTCGACTTCAAATTCTCAATTCCTTTTGTCGGATGAGGCTTGGAGGGATCTTTGTACTTGGCTGCGTACGGGTTCGGATCAACATTATGTTGAAGGTTTCCTAGTGTATGGTTGACCTCGCGGTGCTTGGCTTCGTCAGCCCGCACATACAGCAACAAGTCCTTCATTGTGCGCTGCCCCTCGGGCATGTTCCAGTACTGGACGGCGATCTCGGGAGCATCCAACTTCTCCCAATCGGGCAGCTTTCCTGCCTCAATGTCGTTGATGGCCCGAGTGTAGGTGATGACGGCTTCTTCTTCAAGGTAGCCGACGAACCGGTGGCAGGTGCGGGGGGAGATCAGGTATGAAATGAAGAAGCCGTTGAAGAAGACGCCCTGGGCTCCGAGAACCATGAGCCGCATGAACCATCCTGGCTCGGCAAGCTTGAGGAAGGTAAGCAAATGCATGCGCTCATTGTATGCCTCTTCAAGAAGAGTTTCGATCCTGGTGATTGTTAGCAACAACATGAACTGCGGAAAGTTGATTACCAAAATGGGAACTCACCATCCGTTGTCCCTCTTCATTCGTCTCAAGCTCCGCAGATGCCTCAGCATGCCTCCAACCATGCCTGGCACGCCAGCCACGCTCTCGAGGAAAACAAATCGCGTAAGCCACTTCTGCTCGGTCATTTTGAATTTGGCGTCGTGTTCCTGGCCCGGCTTGGGATGTCGGTACCCGGTCACCAAGTCCATACCCCATCTGAGCACTCGGACTGTCCCGAGCGCCACCCAGTCGGACCAGTTCTTGGCTTCTCGGTGGGCGATTTGAACGGCGCGCATCTGGTCTTCGGTGTAACTACGAATTGTTAGCACGGGAGCGCGTCGAAAGTAGGTATCAATTAAAGAGCACATACATAGGATGAACCCAGGCCGTCTCAACCTCCTTGATGTGAGGAGCTTTCGGCGGAGGAAAGTAGTCTTTGATTTGTGTCTGCGGCGTTGACGAGATGGGCCGCTTTGTGATTGACTGGAAGTGGTTGCTGCTTGCTAGCAGCGGGCGACTGCATCGTGGTGCAGCCACTGCGCTTGCGTAGGTCCGGATAGTAAACCGGAGATATGGTTTGGGAAATGCAGTAGCCCGTAAGGGCATTGTCGCTGTTATCGAGTTCATATGGAATGGCGGTTATCACTTGTCAGACGGTAAAGTAAGGATGTCTGAAGAAAATAGATATAACGACTTCTTCGTATTGTTTGAGTCTTTGGATATCTGAATGATGACTACAGCTTATGGTCTCTACAGTCACGTCCTTATATACTCGATCGTCCAAATATGTGCAAAGTCATATCTATGGCAAAAACCGGAAGCCACGCGGGAGCAAACAATTACAGTGGGCACTCATCTAGAATGAAACAAGAAATTTTCTCACCACAGAAAATCTCTATAATTACAGTCATCATTGAACACATTAATTGATAGGCCGCACCAAACTCAGCGAGGCTTAGATGCGCGCATTCGTATTGGTATGGATGGCGGAAACTGATAGGGGGGCCTGAGGAACCAGCGGGCTGGTTCCAGTGTCGATAGAAGCTAGAATGAACATCGAAGTTACAGAGAAGCCCCCCATTGATACCAACAATAACACCATGATCAGAACGGAAAATTGCACTTCAAACAATATCAAGGATCCACTTCATCAGTAGCAGGCCCTGGACGAAGTAGAAGCAAATTATACATGCTTCCCATTATCCCTATGGCAAAAGAACTTGTGAAGCTGATACTGGCATAATCTCGTATCTGTCATCTGGATACAATATTGTTTCTTCGTAAAATACAAGATTCGGCCATGTGACCTCGGGGGAAGCCGGGATTGCCAGACGGCGAATGACTCAGCCCCCCCGGACTTTCAGATACAGTGAACTACTGCCCGAAGAAAAGTCGGGAATTCGGGATGCAAGTTTGAACGGGCGTTCGGTGTTACGGTTTTCCGAGCCTGCTTCGTTGCTGCTAGGTATTCTCGGTGAGCCATTGCGTCACTTAAGGCGCTCCATATACGCATTGGTCAAGGTGGTTGTGGATGCCAGCCGAAAGGCGAAATGACGTTCGTGGATTTGAGCTGGAGAGGATCCCGTTGGCCGAAGTATTCTCGTCATGCCGACCTACAAGAGCATGACTAGATCGACGATTACATCCACTTATACTTCTCTAATGTTCTCACAGCTATTGCTCGGTGGAGTTCAAATACGCTCAGCACTGATTCAAGCAGCTCATTAGATAATTTCATTCGGTTGAAAAACGAAAACTGGGAACTCTGGTCAACAAGACATATTGAGTCCCATCATTTAGCAGCTTCAAAGACCGAATCGGAAGTTCGTCTGACAGCGAAGTGATCTTCCCCTTCTTCTGGAGTGAGATCCCTTTTCTCGATCTTGACTACATGTGCGAGACGCGGTCCCTTGTCGATGTCTTTGAAGAACTTCTGGAGTGTCTCGTCGCTACCTTGGACTTCTCCTTCAACCTGTTGCCATGATCTTAGCTTCTGCAGATGTGTAGGTAACTTAGGAAACTTAGGGTTGGGGACGAACTCTTCCACAAGTAGTGTTCTTCACCCAACCTTTCAGCCCGTACTCAACCGCACGCTTTTGAGTGAAGTCTCTAGTGTCAGAATATAGGAATTAGAAATGTGTCTATGCTGAACACCTCGCTGTATGCAGAATCCATCATCCTACCGGAATCCGACCCCTGGAGACGTTGACCGAGTTAGTAATCAATCGATGTAACAAAATAGCAAAGTGCGTAGCCAACGCGCGAACTACGCTAGCAAGACATCAAAAAGTAGCAATGAAGTACTTGCCTTGTACAGTGCCGTGGACTCTGAATGCAGTCTGATACAGGTCAGTCACGTGTCATGAATTCAATGACGTATCAAGATAGGAAAAGATGAAACGCGACTGGGAGGTTCGAAGGGATCGGGGTAGAAGTACTCGCCGCGATGCCATGTTGACAAAGGCTCCGGTTCTTAGTCTGCGGCTCAGGTTTTTGCTGTTGTAATATCTTGGGAGTGTTTGTCTGATCATAGTTCATACCTAGGTAGATACCGGTCGACGTTCATTCTGGCGATCAAGTGGGGCTTTAGCTACGTTTATGCCTCAGGCTGCAAGGCGTCAAAGTTGCTCGATACCTCCAAATTTAGCATTTGTTCCACTTTAGGCTAGCTCAACCACTAGTGCCTTTCGGGGTCAGGCACTCATACGGGCCAGTGACAATCGAGGTCTTTGACAAGTACCTTACTCATCATCAGGAATGGGATCTTCAAGATCGCAGATTAGAAGCTAAAGTTTGGTTTGCAATTGCAGTGATGTTGGAGAATTAACCGTCAATAGTCGTATCACAGTTCCAGTCTGTAGGTTGTTATGTAGTATATTCGGTGATACAGTTGTAGTCAACCTCGTGCTTCTGGACTACTTGTAGGAGCCTAGGTAATCTGGCCTACTCCGCCCCTGAGCTCGTTTCCCTCCCAAAGATACCTATCTACGGAGTCCTCCGTACTGCTCTCCGCAACCCACCATCCTCTTCTCTCCGCGCCTTTGTCCATGGGTCCGGGCACGCGATGCTTCTGTTAAAATGACTTCAATCCTTTCCTGGTTCCGGAGACTCTACTCTCTTGATACCCTCGACACTCGTTTCGTTTCGTCTGCGACCACCTCGTTAAAGGCCGCTGCTGACACGCGACCCCCGTCTGCGAAAGATGCTCGCGCAAATGCCATCGCCAATGGCGCTTCGCCTCCCAACTGGCGAACGCCTGAATTTTTTGTTTACTATTTCGTCTTCTTAACCGTGGTACCTATGATGTTCAAGACTGTTATTGATGCTTCGAAAGGTACGGCGTGTGGTTGCGAGTTTGCGGGGAGCTGGGAGACCCGTGCTGATCAAATGCTCTAGAGAGTCATCCCGGTTATTCTGCTTATGAACATTTGCTATCGCCAGGCTGGATACCTGGCCGTAAGGTGGTGAGTGTTGGCTGCATACCTGCTGTTTTCCATGATGCTGATTGCCACATTGAATAGGACAACTCCGATGCCCAATTCTCAAACTTTCGTAATAACATTCCCTACCTTCTCATCCTTCTCGTCGCTCATCCGTTGCTTCGTCGGGTCTATGAGCGCTATCTACTGCGGACCGATGCCAGCTCTGTTTCTCGAAGTGCCGATGCGGCGACTACTGGAGATGCTCGACTGGATCGACGGGTGCGATTCGATTATTACTTTGCTCTCGTGTTCATAACTGCGCTGAATGGTGTGTCGGCTATCAAGGTCCTCGTGATCCTGTACTTGAACTACAAGATTGCCAAGTCTCTCCCTAGGAAATATATCCCCGCGGCCACTTGGATATTCAACATCTCCACTTTATTCTCCAACGAGCTTTGTGCCGGGTACCCGCTTGAGCGCGTGGCCACTTTCCTCACAGCAGGTGGTGAAGGAGAAGCTTCCTTGGTGCAATGGGCCAAATACATCGATGGCTTTGGAGGCTTAATGCCCCGCTGGGAGATCCTCTTCAACCTGACGGTCCTGCGGTTGATCAGTTTCAATATGGATTATTACTGGAGCCTGGATTATCCAGCGGCGAGCGCAATTGAAGTATGCTCTGAGACCACAGACTCTTGCGAACGATAACTGACAGCCATAAGAAGAAACAGCTCGATCCAGCAGCGCTGTCGGAGCGTGATCGTGTGAGCATCCCACCAGAACAGTCTGCGTTCAATGCTCGCAACTACGTCGCCTATGCCCTTTACTCGCCTTTGTACTTGACCGGTCCAATCCTGACCTTCAACGACTATATCGCTCAGCAGAGATATCCACCACCATCCCTCACAAAGACTCGTACTCTTCTATACGGCATCCGATTCTTCTTGACGTTGCTCAGCATGGAATTGATCCTTCATTATATATACGCCGTGGCTATTTCCCAGGCATCGCCCGATTGGTCCCTGTATTCAACCGGACAACTTAGCATGCTCGCATTCTTCAATCTACATGTGATTTGGCTCAAACTTCTCATTCCCTGGCGGTTCTTCCGCCTCTGGGCCTTACTCGACGGCATCGACCCCCCTGAGAATATGGTCCGCTGCGTGTCGAACAATTACTCTGTTTTTGCCTTCTGGCGCGGCTGGCACCGATCCTTTAACCGCTGGATCGTCCGCTATCTCTACATACCCCTGGGCGGAGGAGCACGCTCGGGAGGCGCGAACAAATCCTCGCCAGGTCTCCTCTCCAAAGCACGTCGGATCTTCAATTTCCTGGTGGTATTCACGTTCGTCGCTCTCTGGCATGACATTAACCTTCGCCTCCTCATGTGGGGCTGGCTCGTCACCCTCTTTTTCTTGCCCGAGACCATCGCTACTCTGCTTTTTCCCGCGCGCAAGTGGCGATCGCGCCCAACCGCATACCGTGTCCTCTGTGGTGTCGGCGCTGTTGGCAATGTCCTTATGATGATGATTGCCAATCTTGTTGGTTTTGCCTTGGGTTTAGATGGGATCAAGAGTCTCTTATCGGAGATTCTTGGGTCTTACTCGGGCATTGGCTTCCTTGTTGCTGCTTGTGGCGCACTGTTTGTGGGAGTACAGGTCATGTTCGAGATTCGGGAAGAGGAGTTACGCGCTGGTATTAAGATGAAGTGTTGATTCTTGGATACTGAGATTTCTCTGAATTGAGGTTATGTACATAGACATTGATCATTAAAACTGTCTATGCGGGATATTGAGAGCCCTGATGGTTCACTCGTAGCAGGTATGATGGATTACTGGAAGTTCCAGGCAATGCGAGTCACATTGAGCCATGGCTGCTGCTGCTGCTGCTGCATGCAGACGAACCCTCCACCAGCTGCGATGGTAGGTGCCCGATCCGTTTGATCCGTCTGGGATTGGATTTGTGATGAGGCATTGCATCGATCACGAAGGAGACGCGTCAACCGATTTATATCATCGGGAACGGTAAAGAGCCAAGCATTCGTGATGGACTCTGAGCGGAGGGATGGATAATGATGCCTCCGTCGGGCAGCGATAAACCGTGTTATGAGACTCCTGCGCCTTTCACACAAGGCCTTGCGACTCGATGCCTTGACAGCTATGAAGCTGGCATTTCGACATCGGTACGTTTTGTCAAGCCTTATCGGCCAAACCGGTCTGCACCAGACAGCTTAAAAGAACGCACCGCACCGCGAGTCCTCATGAACCTTGTAACAAGCCAGACCACAGGTCCGAACATGACAGTTCTTGCACCGAATCTTGCCCCAGTATCCGCACATATAGCAAAAGTGCCGTGGTGCCTTGGCGGTTAGGGGCGGACCAGCACGAGCCGCGTTGTATGTGAGTGGCGGTTCGGCGAGGAGTGCCTCCATGATGCGCTCTGAGGGTGCGGAAGGGATGTATGACTTTAGAAGGGGATCGTTGTCATGCTCTGATTTGATCAGTCGGTTCGGGTTTTCGGTTTCTGCTTCGGGTTGCTTTTTGTCTTCGTCTGTGTCGGGGGTCGCGTTGGTGCTGGTCTCTGGCGGGATCGTTGAGGCCCTTGATGGTGGTACGGTGGATAGCTTCCTTTTCGATAAGTCTGACCTGGGGGTAGCGGCGGGAGTTAGACTTCGTCGGGAGGGCTTCGTGATCTTGCTGGTGGAGGGTCTTTGTATAGTCGACTGCGCGGCTTGGGCCAGGGCCGCCTCCTCATCATCGAGGTAGTTTCGGAAGGTCTTTTGCGATTGAAGGATACGGCGCACATTTGAAGTCGTCTTTCCTCGTGTCCCTAGCAGTAATAAATACACGTTAGCCATGGTCGGGTTGCTTTAGAATCTCAGCACAATATCGCAATACCTCTACCAGCCGCATCCTTCTGTTTCACAGGTATTGGAATATGCACGTCTCGATGATTCTCCCGGTCAAGCTCAGCTAAGTGGCGAATAATCGCATTGCTCTGGCGCGAAGATAAGTCGGTACGACCACCGTCGCGGATTCCTCTTTTCCTCCCGATGGTAGGTGTGATAGCTGCTTGCGCTGGGTTAAAGCCGCGGTCGGGGACGTACGTCCATCCGGGCGTGACATGGGAGGTTGTGCTGGGGAGGACTTCAATACGATACATGATGGAAAATGACAAAAGTGCCTGACATGGTCTAATAAGCTTCCATCGCGATGCTTGTCTACCGGGGTGAACGATTCCGTATGCTCTTAATATGCCAAAAGATACCGCGCCATGGATAAATGTTTGTGGTGTTTGCATCATCCAACTACAAAGGATCCACAAGGAATCGAGTCACGTGCTTGAGTGTATGTCTATGGGGCCTCGTCACTTGTGTAGTAGATTGATCACTGAATTTGGTCCATTGATCGAAGTGTTATTGAAGTATAGAGAGGTACATTATAGAGTATCCGGGATCTCAAATGACTCCAGATATGTCATTCTTGTGGAGCCCGTATAAACGACACTGCTCAAGCTGGTAGAAATCCAAAACAAGATGTAATCGAGAGTAAGAAGAAAACAGTCAGGAGATTAGAGATAATCAGACAAATTTCCTTCATTTCTTCTTCTGCAACTGGTCTATCTTTGTCTCCAGTTCCGTGACGTAAGTTTGCAGTCTCGTTGTGGCTGCCTGTAGAGCCTAACGGAAATCCATCAGTATGATTCAGACAACGGATGAACAGGGAAGTGAGGCAAGATATCAAACAATGTGTTCAGTCAGTTGCGTCCATCGGTACAGACCCAGGAATGCTCTGGTATAGCATCATAGCAGCTGGGCGGACGGGGAGGACGGGGTCTGAATCCTCAAGGACCCTGTTCGTGAGCAGAAGTAAACAGAGACATACATGGATATCTTCATTCAGCATTTGATTTGCGACTCTGTACTCTCCCAAGATATAATAGTAGACCGCAGCACCGGCAACAGCCGTTCCAGCGAGGAACCCAAACAACCTAAAACAGGCGTCAGGAAAACATTCAAGATACCTGAGAAAACAATCAAATACAAGAGTCCGAAGCTCTTACCCTCCACGGAATGCACCCACAGGCTTTCTCGGGGGTAATGCTGTCCCTGCGTTCCTGAGGCTTTGGGATGTCGAGAAGCCACAGGCGGATACGGATCCCAACCTGGGCGCCCTGGAGCGCAACAGGGAAATCGCGTTTTTACGTGCAATCATGTTTGATCATGAGCCTGGAGAGCTATATTTACAGTTAGCGAGAAGCATGCTTTTGGACTCGATAAGAGAGAAGGAAATATCATCTTCTCACATTGCAATCAGGAGATGAAGTTGGGCGCTTGAGTGTCACGAGCGCGTGGCGGCGGTGTTGCCTGTTTTAGCCCTGCAATATGCGGTTGCATCCGGCAACTCTTGCCTACACTACTTTCGGTTTCCAGCTGCTGCAGCGCAAACACATTATTGATGAGCGTATAGAGCAAGTAAAATTATTTGACCGTGGTCCTGATGAGTTTATTTTTCGCATATTTTTTCAGCACTGAACAACTTCCTATATTCATTATATAAGATATGCAACACGGGCGCCGACTAATGATAGAAATGGCACCTTGTTAAACCATACGTTGCAGTTCTATCTATTAAAAGGGCAACGGATGATACATCAGTGCTGTTTGGTATCGTACAGACAGATATCAACTGAAAGATACAAGAATAACAAAGCACTCGTATCAATTGGCCATGGTGCTCTCGTTAAACAAATCCGCCAATAAGTCGTCCTGGCAACTCTTCAAGTCCGGATTGCCCATACCATAAGTGCTTTCGAAAGCATAAATACTAAGTCGGTCGAGAAACGGTCGAAGTACCTGATCGATAAGCTCGTCCTTTGCCGTCTCACGGATCCAATCCAATGTCAGCTGAGGTCGCTTCATTCCATCGCCAGACTCGGTAGCTTCGCGCGGTGAACGTGGTGGCGCCGAGCCACGTACACCCAAGGTCTGCGATATCTCGTCCGCAAGTGCCCTTGATTCTAGATGCCCAGGAGGGTAAACAGCATCAATCGTGTCGGTGACATAAAGCCACTCGAGAAGCTGAAAATCATCTGGCGCCAGAACAAGTAGTGTATCCAGAAGCTTACACGCTTGCAACAGCGAGTATGCATTGTAAACTTCTTGTTGCGCTCCAAGAGGTATGCTAGAAATAGCTTCTTGAAGTTCTGTATTGATCAATGGCCAGAATGGCGCAAGTGTGGTAGTTGAACTCTTAAGCGCAAGCGCCCGAAGTACCATGAATATCTCTGCTCTTGTGGTGGACGACGGAGATGAGGAGCTCGTTGCCGCAAGCAGATCTTCCAGCTTCTGAAGCAGGTCCGGTACTTCTCCAATGAAGTAATCTTCATTCGCAGATAATATCAGCAGTGATATCCTCCGCAGATTCAACTGAGCCTTCCGGTCAGCTTCCAAGCGAGCAGCAGACGCTCCAACACCGAACATGAGTCCTGCTGTACTCGGTGGTGGAAGACGAGACATCAACTCTGTCAGGCGGTCTTTGTCGGCAATTACCCATTGCCTGAGTAGCTTCATCCAACCGCTTCTCACGAGATCAACCTGGAAGCCAAAAAATCGTGGATCGTTGAAGGCATCAGCTATGTCCTTCTTCCAGACTTTTGCAGCAGCTGGAACCTTCGCAATGTGTTGCAGGAGCGACATCACACTGCCGTTAATATTGTTGGGAAATAGTCGCGAACGCAGAAGAGGCCCGGTCACATGAGAGGATATGCCTGACACAGCGGAGACGATGCGATCAGAATCACCTAACAGTGCTGTAAAAGACGGCATCGAGAGTGCAAGAATACTGAGAATATCGTCAGGGCCAGCGTGCGGTACAGCGGAGTTGTCATAATCCAGGGATGGCCTCCCCAGTATACTCGAATCCTGAGATAATCCCAGAGGTTTGCTTGTGAAGATGGCGGTGAGCAGACGAAGCAATACATCCTGCATGAAGTTAATAACTGCACTGCATGGTTAATGCGGCGGTAAGACATACCCCTAGTTCCTTTCTCATCCGTCGATCCTCGCCAAAGGTTGTATTCTCCATCTTGGCTCCAAGGATGGCAGCGAATTCCACTAGCCGGGGAAGGATTTGTCTATGGGGGAAGGGGTTGCTCAAGACGTCACGTAAAAATGTTGTACAGTCTGTCCAGATCTCGTCAAGTACGTCATCATCCAGAGACCTGGCATAAGTAACCAGAAAACCTGCCAGCTCCGATTCAGTGAGGCTTGACGTCAAGGCAGATTTACGGTGGGGTTCAAGGGCAGCAGGGTTGGTTCGTGTATAAATGGCATTGAAGATTGCTGGAATGGTGATCTTTGGGCGAGATCCGTCCAGAGTGTGGAGCAAACTGAAAATCAGTGGTGATGTGTCAGGGTCAGCTCTTGACCACATCTCTATCATCGTCTCTAGGCATTCAAGGGCCTCCGCAGTGAAAAGATGCTCAAGAATTCGACGAGACCTGTTTCTCATCCGCAGAGAGGTGTATTGGAAGGACGCGAGAGACTCGGTATCTTGGGGTGGGCCCTTTCGCTCCACGGCACCCCAGGACCATATGGAAAAGCACAGTCGAACGGCATCCTGGAAGCACAATAATACAGTCAATCTGTTGTTCGCTGCGGTCGAGCGCCCCTGGTTAGAATCTGTCGCAAATACTCCTGACACCATGTTGCCAAAGAACCCATGGGCGTGGTCAGGGCTTTTGACAGCCGGTATGTTCGCTTCCTCCACGAGAAGGCGTTCGTGAGCTGCCGCTATGCAAGTCTCAAGTCCAGTAAGTAGGGTAATGGTGACATGTTCAGAGCGATCTTCTGGCCAACCGTCGGTTTGTCTAAAAGAGAGCTGAAGATTCGTGTATGATAATTGAATCTCCTTACAGAAGCATTCCACTAACATGACCAGGATCTGGAAGAGGGATCCTGAATATAGGGGAAGCACTTCACAAAGCAGTAGGGTCCACTTCTCCACGATATCTCTCGAACTTTTAGAGCTAATGCCTTTGAGAAGACACTCTAGAAGGTGGGAAGGAGGTTGAGGTGGAACAGGAAGCGAAGGACCTCTATCAGCCTTATCACTGGTAAAGGAAAGAAGTGACGGACTTGTGAGGCGCTCGCGGGACTGTGCACGCTGATGTTTTGGCCTGGGAGGGGGCGGTGGTAGGTATGCTTGCGCGAATCGGACCTTCAAAGCTGAGAGTAGGGTGTCTATTATAGCCCCTTGCAATTCGACGCTACCTCCTTCGTCGAGGACAGAAGACAGTTGATCAACCAAGAAGGAGTCAATTCCCGATTCAGCAATCTCTTCACCTCCGGGTCCTTGAAGAAGTTGTCTTATGACCAGCAGGGAGGTCTGCTGGAGTTTCACTTCTTCGTAGTCCGCCTGTGATGCTGCATTTCGCCTTCTCCCAATGATTACCTTTGAGGATAGCTGGAAAATAATAGAGTGGAGAGATTGGAATTCAGCACCATCTAAGTCGTTGATGGTAAGTCAAGCATTCAAAACTAGGTTCTCAGAGCTTACCTTCAGAAGCACCATCCTTTTGTTTATCCGCTGGATTCAATGTCTGAGTAAGAAGAGATATCCATCCATTGGGGGACAGCGAGCAGAGGATATTGTAGATTGTCCGCAAAAGGTAGTTGCACTCTTTATAGTCGTCAGTGGAAATGACGGCGTTGTCGCCCTCAATTTCTGACTGTGTTTCTCGCAAGAGAAGGTTCTCAAGTCGCAAGATCACGATACGAAACACCCTAAGAGATGTAAGAAATCGTACAAACCTTAGCTTCGGGGCCTTACTCACTTTTGAATGGATGATAAATCTTGAAGCCATCGCTGAACTACCTGTGAAGCCTCATTGGGCCCTTGAGTCAGAAGATCCAAAACGAGGAAAAGTGGGCGCTCAAGCATCGACGAATAGTAAGCCGTTTGTGCCTTTCTCGCATCGTGCGCTTGTTTTGGAGGAAGTTCGTATGAGCCATGGTGGCTATGATTCCAGAGAACAAAATATTTTCCAGCCTGCTCTTCAGAAGACAGATGGTGAGAACCTGGCGCTGAACCAACCATGAGAGATGTTATGGACGCCTCGACAATATGATCTGACCAAGAAACCGAGTGTAGATGCCAGAGACAGCGGGCCGCCTCTACATGAAACTTGGGACTTGCTGGTGAGAGGAACTGCCAAAGACGTTGGACGAGTGTCGGTATCAGTTCTGCAACATCCTCATAGCTGATATAGTACCCAGGGGCCTGTATGAAATACAAGCTGGTCACTGCGGAGACAATGGAAGATATAGTCGAGAAAAAAGATGTAGACTGTTCTGCCTGGTCAATCTTCACTCGACTGCAAATAGCCAGATAGAAGCGCCTGTCATGGAACACAAGTGATTTGGGAAGTCGTTTCAGCAGGGCAACCAGAAGACTCAGGATCTCTTGAGTAAGTATACTACCATTGCGCTTTTCGAGGGCCGATGTGGCAAGATCGTGAGCTTTCCGCGTTATGAGATCACCCAAGTGTCTGGGGAGAAAAGGGAGTGGTGGAAGATCCAGACTGCTTCTACTTTGATCATAGAAGCTATGGATTCTTTTCATAATATCAATGTCGCTGATGTCGACCATGGAATCATCCGCTATCGCTTTGGCCGATTCAGATTTTCTCGCGAACGCTCGCTCTGTCAGTAGCGCTGTCAAGGAGTTCATAACCTTCATAAGCCCGTTGGATATTTCAAGAAGCTCGTCAGGGACGATTCCGGAATCCTTTGTAAATGATGAAAGCTCGCTCAATTTTACGAGGATAGTAAGCACCAACAGAGGTACGTGGGTAAGAAGCATGTCCTCTTCACGGACATTGAAATTGTCCAAAATGAACTGAGCGAGTTGCAAGTCGTCCAAAGCCTGCCTCTCCTTGCTACAAACATCATCAGCTCTCCAGTCTATCAGGCCAAGAAGCTCCGAAAAGATCACGCCACTCTCGACACCATCGAAGAAGGCACTGGCGCTCCGAAAAACCTCGTCGAACTGATGCTTGGAAGCTGATTTTCCGAAGGCTTGGATGTTGCGCATAAGGGGTAGGAATACTGCAGGAACAATATGACCGCCAACTTCCCATCTGTCCATCAATGAAAGTGAGATTCGAAATGGCTTTGACCTTTCCGAGGGAGTTCTCGAGTCTTGCTCATTCAACCGAAGCAGACCTTTTACAAGAGGTTTTAGACCAAATTGACTGAAATACTCTGACTGCGATAACCGTTCGTCATCAACAGCGTATGCTCCCGTTGTCCCTTCACTTTCGAAAGGTGGCTGATCACTCGCAGCTTCAGGACCTAGGAACCACGCCCACAGCCTCCTGTTCAGGCTCATGTCTCGTCGGGCAACAACGCCAACAGCCGCAATCATTAATCTCTGAAGGTCGTCATCCGTGATCCGCGACTGCAGTATAGGCGAGCTGAGTGGAAGATGAGTCACAAGTAAGTCAAGAAAGTTGCGCTGTACGAGGATTTGTTCATCCACCAGACCAGACGCAAAACACCTAATAAGCAAGCCCGGCTCAGGCATGATAACAGAGTCCACCGCCACGCGCATATCATGTGGCATGTCCTCAAAGTTACTTCCATCACCCTTACTAGGTCTGCGATCCGTAATGCCTAACTTTGGCAAATATCGGTTCAGGTAAGCTAAGACACCCGAACGTCTGCTAGGGCTGGTTATGGATGCCAGGAACAGACACTGCCAGAAGTATTGACCGCTTGATTCCGCATCTGCTCCGGATCTCTGCGTCTCTAGCTTCGTTGCTGCGATGTCGCGGAATTTGTTAACGAGTCGCAGCGTGTGATCGAAGTCATCACTGGTTTCCTCTTCCAGGCCTGGTAAAAGGGCCAAGATTATAGCCTTCAATGCCGGACGAATGGCCCATGGCTCGAGATTGCAAATATGACTTTCTACCAAGGATAAGAACAGAGGACGGACTGTGAGCGAGGCGAAGGTAAGAGTGGGCGCGATGCCTGGCAGGTACAAGGGGAGGTCGTGTGACAAGCCTTCAGACTATTTGGCCGATTAAAGGCATTAGCAGATGGACACTCAATTTCTTTTCCCGTCACGTCGAACCTTAATCAGATTAAATATATAGATGTATACTTCGAGCGCTTTCTGGTGTACGCCCGACGGTAGTGAAGGGTTCAAGCACTGTGAGAGGCGTTTGGCTACAAGCACCTTGTGGGGGACGACTGGTAAGTCTGCGGGATGCGATTGGAGAGCCTGAACCAGGTGAGCAATTTGCCTATTGTTCTAGGCGCATGAAGCCTAAACTTACCTTCAACAGGCGACTAAGGAATGAGATATAGTCCGCCCATTCCTGTAGTGCTGTGTCGAACAACGACAGGGCTCTTTCAACAGTTGAAGCATAGCGGCGGTAATTCTTGTCTTTCTTCAAGGGCTCTGTTTGCGAAGATAAGTGAGTTGCATAGTCCCGAATAATCACATTTGCCTTCAATTGCATATCTGAACTGGAATTTGCGTACCCTCCTTCCCTCGTAAGCGGGAGCGCGTAAAGGAGCTGTCGGAGCTTGCGGGGGAGTTGGACCTTGGAAAAGAGCTCGGATCAAGGCTCATGGTGCCAGTAGTGGATATTCGGTAGGCGGAATTGCTTCAGATCGCGGCGCTTCATATTTTGCTCATCAGGAGGGCATGATCGGATGATTTTGCGGATGGTTGCGAACAACTGAAGCCACGCAGCCTGAATAGATAGACCAGGCGGAGATGTTTTGAGTCTCCGTCCGCCTTGGAGCTCCGGCCTTCCAGCGACGTCAACCTAGCTCCACTTACTATCTACTCCACGTAGCTGCGCTCAGCAGATGAGAGCAACCTAGATGACCTGCCGTCGCATCTTCATGAGATTATCTCTTTCCCAATGATGATTATGTCTAACGCCACTTGACTTATTCTAATGATCACTGTTCACAAATGAAGCAGGACCTCCTCTTAGAACTGCTGTCGATGCGCATGATCTGCGTACGATGAACTCGAACTCTCTTGAGCAATCACAGGTCTCACCGGGCGATGACGGCGCTGGAAGGAATGACTACGGAACTCCAGAATATTCCGCGAAAGAACCCTCGGATACCAGTAGCGATGACTCGTCCACAAGCTTGGAAGAAAGGCCCCCACCTCTGCCCCCGCGTCCGAACACCTTGAGCTTATTAGATGAAGGGTTCATTTCATCTCGCTCAACCCGGCAGTCATCATCAGCTAGTTTGCAGGCCAAGGCTACAACAGCTGTGTCGATACCGGATATTAGCCTCCTGCAATTGAACGATGGCGCAAAAGAAAACCACCCTACCCGTGGTCCTTTTGGTTCACTGAGAGCCAAAGCAAGCCTCACTCAGCTTACAGCGTCGAGAGGCAGTGATGTGGGGGATTCTGCGAGTATTAGAAGCACGGCACCCAACACAGAGCTCGGTGAGGCGGAAAACGTTTTCAGCGACTTCCTTGCACAGGAGGCCGGAGACGTTCAGCAGGACAGCAGCGGACTTCTTCAATTCCCCGAGTTTCGGGCCGATGATGTCGAAGACGACTTTACGAGTGAATTTGAGCCAATCGGGGAGCTGGATGATGAAGGCAGGAATGAAGGTTAGTGATGATCTGTGTTGTGTAGTGATCAAATCACTGACTTCAATCCAAATCGCAGAGCTGCTCCTTGAGAGATGGAAGTCTAAAAGAAAACACTATCTCATCCTGTCTGCTGCTGGGAAACCCATTTGGACCAGACATGGTGATGGCGGACTGATCTCGGGCTACATAGGTGTCATTCAGACGATCATATCGTTTTACGAAGATGCGAATGATCGTTTGAGCAGTTTTTGCGCCGGGGATACGAAGTTCGTGATTGTTACCAAGGGTCCATTATACTTGGTAGCCATTAGTCGACTCTTGGAGAGCGATACGCAGCTGAAATTACAGCTAGAAGCCTTGTACATGCAAATTTTGTCTACCCTAACACTGCCCTCGTTGACACATCTCTTCTCTGTTCGACCGTCTACCGATCTCAAAAGGCCGTTGCAAGGGTCCGAGACGTTACTGTCTACTCTGGCAGACAGCTTCACAAAGGGATCACCGTCCACGTTCCTTTCCGCATTGGAATGTTTGAAAATCCGCAAGTCACATCGACAAGCGATCAACAATGCGCTTTTAAAGGCCAAGGTCGGCAGCCTACTGTATGGTCTGGTGGTTGCGGGGGGTAGATTAGTCAGTGTTGTGAGACCCAAAAAACATTCTCTGCATCCTGGTGACTTACAACTTCTCTTCAACATGATCTTTGAAGCAGAAGGCATCAAAGCAGGAGGGGGGGAGAGCTGGATTCCAGTCTGTTTACCGGGATTCAACAGCAGCGGTTATCTATATATGTATGTCAGTTTCCTTGATCTCCGCGAAAACTCAGGCAATGCTGCCAGCGAGACGACGACAACAGAGCAGTCGGTGGCGATCATCCTGATTAGCCCGAATAAGGAGGGGTTTTTTGAGATGCAGGAGATGCGAAATTCACTTGTCGAGGTATGCAAGTCCGTCACTAGAATCTGGTTTGTTCAGGACAAACTAACTCGATCCGGTGCTGGCAGCAACTGGAGAAGAATAATAGTATCAATATCATCAAAGACGCTATTGATGGGGGTCGTCCGGCTACTACTGATATTGTTCCCGGGACCGTCTTGCATCATTTCTTGTATAAATCTCGGGCAAACGTCCAGTTCACCATGTCCTCTTACGACCCTGAGTTCACATCGATTTCTCGGCGTCGAAGGTTTGTCAACTCCGTTAAGCCATCTTTTAAGCCCTTGTTATGTTCGTGGACTAATGAATTCTTGATGCCTCGTTTTTTAGATTGATGTCAACATACAATAACCTACACTCTAGTATTCATGCTAAGCATGCTCATGTGAAAGTTCACCATTGTATCTCCCAGTCAGCCAGTTCTTTTGCTTGGGTGACCCCGATATTTGAACTTTACTGTGTTGCTAGCCCCAATGCTAATCGCAACGCACTTGCACAGAGTGCAAGTAAGATTGTCCAGTGGGTACAACGGGAGGAAGAACGGTTGTTTATAATTGGTGGAGCTGTAGGTCATCCGCAAGGGGAATTTTTGGACTAATACTGACTTTATTCCAAGGTTTTCTAATATCCAACTACTGAGGTATTCCGCTGAAAATCGAGGCCCCCTATGTGCAACACATACGACTCTCCTATCAGCACGGATACAGCTCAAAGTCGTGGTGCTTGAAGGGCCTCGAACTGTCCCTAAGTCAGAATCTAGAGATAAAGACGAAGACATTGCTTCGACATGTCTCATCTAGTAATTGCACGTTACAGCTCGAGCCAACGGCCAACGGTCTAGTCGATCGTGTCGTCTCGCAGGGCAAAAAGCTGCTGCATGACCTCGTCTGCTTTGCTTCGGATGGCGTTATGGTACATAACGTTCGTGATAAATTGCTTGATACCCTTGATCTTTGCCGCCGTCATCGACGCCAGGTCGAAGTGGACATACATGTCCTCTACGTACGTCGCTGCATAGACAGGGACTTCGTTGTTCGCAAGTCGAGCCTCATCATAAAGCTGAGGCCACTCGGCCGTCGTGGCAAGGATGTCTGCAGCGTCTTTGACTTGCTGCAGTTCGGTGTATGACTCGAACATGTCTTTATAGATCTATAGTGGCGAGTCGAAGTTAACCGTTGCTGCGGGGAATCTACCGGACAAAAAGCCTACCATTTCTCCTGTGAACAATATCTTTGGCTGCTTATCGTCAACGTTAAACTGCACATCAGCTGAGCGTAACCGATCCGCGGACCAATTTGAGGCTTGCCTGGAAGGAGTCAGAGGTTATTTGACTTCCCGCTGACAAGCTAGTAGCAAAAGGCCTTTCTCACCCTTGGCAGTAGATCGCTTCATGAAGGATGGCGTAAATTATATTGTTGTCGAAGCCACCATAGCTGTCGATAGCGGTCAAGGTTGGATGCGTGAGAAACCCAAAGATCTCCAGGTCGTTACACGCGCGTAGCACCAGATCTGCCAACTTCGGAGTTAGTGAAAGATAAAATTGAAGAATACGATGTATTAATACCATGAACGCTGTCGAGACCGCCTGTAAGTCGTTAGAGCCTCCAGTTGTTTTATTCATCAGGGCGATCGAGTTCACATACCGTGCATTCCGAACATGATACCAAGTTGCTGGATACGCTCTGGTGTCAGAGTGCCAGAGGGCACGGTGACACGGTTCTCTCTCAAGTACTGAACGAGTGTCTTGACTCTATCAACGTCTTCAGGAAACTTGGTATAGTACGCATTGTTTCTCTCCTTGACCTTCTCTTCTTCGAGTTAGAAAGGGAACAGACACGCCAACTCAAGCCCAACATACCGTATGTACGCTCATATACCGTGTCCGGACCATTAACAAGAGGAGGAAGCCCGCCGCAGATGAAAGCCTCTGTCAGTCCTTCTGGGCTTTAAATCAAATAGACGTGTTATCAATAAAGCTGGACTATATGGATGCAGTGGGGAAGACTTACAACATAGAAAGATACGTTACAGCACAGAACCCACCGAAACTTTGGCCGATGATACTCCATTTACGTTGGTCCTCGGGGTAGTCTGTGGTAAGGCACCGACGGATAGCTTCGCAGTCACGGACAATATTGTCCGCACGGAATTGCTTCACGTACTCAGCCTGTTTCACTGCATTGCCTTGAAGGGCGAGAGTTCGAGCCGTTATCGTCGAGCTCATGCCTGTACCACGCTGGTCTAGGAACAGCACCTACAAACGGTGAGAACATGAGTCACCAAAGGAGAAATATCTGAGATAAAATTTGAATACACACCTGGTACCCCTTGTCGAGCGCGGTTCCAACCCAGCCGTACTCTTGCGGAGGTCGACAGCCCATCCCCGGGCCTCCTTGAAGATAAACCAACCAAGGGAGCTGCTTCTCGCCCTTGCCATTGGCAGGATCAACTGGAGTCTCTAGACGACGGACACTTCGAGCAAAGAGCCTCAGGTTGCCGTCATTGGGCTTACAGTAGTTCACGGGCACATCAAAGAGCAGCTCTGCCACGCGAAACTTCCCTGGAGATTCCCGCTTGTCAGCGCGCGTTATAAGCAACGAGTCGAAATGGACGAACCTGGAATATTATGAAATTTTCTATCGATTAACTTTGCAGCCATTGTCATGGTTCTTGTATATTGGGGTATGGATTAAGAACAGGAGTTGTTATCAATATAACGGCAGCTCGCAAAGTGAGGGACTTGTTAAGTGGAGGAGGGGAAATGCCAAATGCTGCGGAGGTTACTAGGAGGGCTGCAACGGGACGATCTACCGCATCAATGGAGGAAAGAAATGTCTTGACTAGTATCCATCGTTAAGAACTCAAGCAGACTCAATTCGAATAGAGTTCGATCATCCCATAAATTCATGCCTCGCTTTAGTCATATGGTTAACTAATTTCTAGTGCTTACCCACCGGAGCTAGGCTGCAACTGATTTGGGGGTATGTATATATGAATCATATCCCCGTTTTCTTTACGCTCACCTTCCAACATCGGAATTTTCACAGTCATGGAGTCAAAAGCAGTCGATACCACAATTGAAAAGCAGCAAGCTCTTCAACAGGAATTATGGAAGGTTGCCCAGAGCGAATGGAAGTCTGGTATCTTACCAAGTGCCAACGATCTGGCACGCGCAAGAGCATCTCTTCCAAAGTCGCTAGCCAATGCTGGAATGGGGTATGAAGCTGCCAAACAGCATATCCTGGAGGATATTATCCCAGGCTTGAATGGCAGCAGTATCAGCCCCAATTACTATGGCTTCGTGACCGGCGGCGTAACGCCCGCGGCGTTGTTTGCGGATAACGTGGTCTCCGCTTACGACCAGAACGTCCAGGTACATCTTCCAGAGCATTCAGTCGTTACAGATGTCGAATACAATGCGCTGGGTTTGTTACTAGACCTCCTTCAGCTAGATCGAGGCTCTTGGTATAATGGTACATTTACGACTGGGGCAACCGCCAGTAACATCCTCGGTCTGGCCTGTGGAAGAGAATTTGCTGTGAAAGCCGCAGCGAAAAACCGAGGGGCCGCTTTGCAGAGTGTTGGACAGCATGGGTTGTTCGAAGTCATGCAGGCTTCTGGTCTATCGGGACTACAGGTGCTATCGACATTACCTCATTCGTCGCTGGTGAAAGCAGCGGGCATACTCGGGATCGGCCGTGCGAACGTGAAGAACATCTGCCGTGATGATAATCCGCTTCTCTTCGACCTAGTCAAACTCGAAGCAGAATTGGCAAGATCCGAAAAGGCAACTATCGTCGCTGTGTCATGCGGCGAGGTCAACACCGGACTTTTCGCGACGGCCGGTCTCGAAGAAATGCGTGAAATACGCAGGCTCTGCGATGAATATGGCGCTTGGTTACACGTCGATGGGGCCTTTGGCATCTTTGGTCGGGTTCTGGATGACAATCAGGAGTTTGCTTCCATCAAGAAAGGCTGCCAGGGCATCGAGTTAGCAGACTCCATCACGGGCGATGGACATAAATTACTCAATGTGCCGTACGACTGTGGGTTCTTCTTTTGCCGTCACGCTACAGTAGCACATGATGTTTTCCAGAATGCCAATGCAGCCTATTTGACGGCCAGTATGACGGATGGACCCTCAATCCCTTCTCCGTTGAATATTGGAATCGAGAACTCTAGGCGATTCAGAGCGTTGCCGGTCTATACCTCGCTGGTGGCTTACGGCCGCACAGGGTATCAGGCTATGCTTCAGAGACAGATACAACTGGCTAGGAAGATCGTCGGATGGGTTTTCGATCATCCGGCCTACGAAGTATTACCGAAAGCGAATAACAAAGAAGACCTACTGGAGAGGACGTATATGAGCATCCTCTTTAGCGCGAAGGATGATGCACTCAATCACAGGCTGGCATCGACGATTAATGCGACTTCCAGAATATACGTCTCCGGTACTTTGTGGCAGGGCAGATCGGCTTGCCGCATCGCTATCTCCAATTGGCGGGTCGACGTGGAGAGAGATTTTGCGATTGTGACTGATGTTCTGGAAAATGTGGCTAAAGGACAATAGACCTGTTTCTGTCTTGACGAATCATTCATCAACATCTACAAACTTTGCTGGGAGTATGAAAATGATGACCGCCGACTCTTCTGGCTTGTCATGGGATGTTGATAATCAGCATGTATATATCTTTCCCAGACGCCAGTTCCTAAATCTTAACGTGTAATCTAGTCGGTCCATTTTTAGCTTCGTCCGCTGTTGTGAACCCTTAATAGTCGGGAGATATGCAGTGGTTTTAGAATCGGCGGAGAAATTAAAGCTGAACAGTATGCATCTATGTTAAAACCAATTTTATGGTATATATTATTTACGTACATCACCTACGTCGCCCAGCACCACCGGGGTTATCAGTTCGGTCAGCGATGCTGACAACCTCGCCAATGCCAGCCGCTTCTTGTTCATCTTCCAGAGCCATGATTTCCTCTCTGCTATCCCACCACTTTTCTTCTGCCATATTGAACGCATCCTTGCGTAGTTCCTTCACATTCTTCTCCACCGTAATGCCCTTCTCTTTCAAGGTATCTAGCAGAATCTTCTGCCACTCCTCAGATGTACGGCTAAAGAAATCACGCAAGCTCTCAAACGGTCTGGGGAGAGGTCGGCTGTCCTGCACAGAGAGCTCTGCTTCCTGTTCCTCCACTTCAAGCTGCTCCATTCCCTGGGTGACTGACGGTACTGTGACTTCGGTAGATGCTGGAGAAGCAGAGTCCAAGGACATTGCATTTTCGTCATCGTCGTCTTCCTCCTCGTCTTCATCTTCCTCGTCCTCATCCATCTCATCGTCACTCTCCGCTTCGTTGAGAAGATGCCAGTTCTCAGGTTCCTTGTTGTATATTTCCTTCACACCGTCGAGTTTCACCAAGTCAATGGAGTACATATCATTGAAAGTGAACTCACGGTCACCTTTCTCAAACGTTCCGCCGAATATGAATAGGGTATCGTCTTGCACGGCCAGCTGTGCGTTGAAACGCTTGTGAGGCATCTCGAAGCGTACAATAGAGGGTTTCTCTGGCTCCGTAGGCTCGTCCTCCATTTTGTCGGTGATTCGCTGAAACTCGTCATCATCGTCCAGATCGCGGAGCCCTCCTTTTGCTTCTAAAGCTTTCAGATTTTGGAGAAGCTCCTCTTCGTCGGCCTTTGCCCGGTTTCGAGATCTCATCTGGTTGGCCTGCTGCTTCTTACCGGTTGCTCTTGGACGGCGAAGAGTCAGAGGGAAGAATCGATTTCTGTCAGTGTTCCAAGCCAGCAAAGTGTCAAAGAACTCGCTATCGATTCCCTCCTCACTGAGTTCAACGTCATGGACACCGCCGAACATGATACCTCGTCCTTTGTGGTACGCCATAGTAGCGCCGGCACGGGGCGGGTTGGGCGAGTTTGCGGGCTTCTTACGGCGTTCCCAGCGAACTGTAGGAGCCGCGGACGCAGGGGCATCAGCGTCAGGTGGTGTAATTCGTAGAAACCAAGTGTCCTGATGGACCATGGGCTTCATGGTCATCCGTTGGGGACCACCCTTCTGTGGCTTCCCTCCCACACCGATAGAGGCCTTCACGCGGGAGTAACCGCCGTACAGTACGGCTCCAGATTCGTGTGGCAAGAATGAGAATGATGACCGAGGATCAGGCTTTTGAGCTGCCGGGGGCAGTGTAGGGTTGAACCAGGTGAATTTTGAGCAATCGTAAATCCACAGGTCCTGCAGGTACTTTGTTTGCTGTGAAGTATCCTGAAACCCTCCGAAGAGGATAATATAGTTCTGGTGGCCTCAGCATGATATTCACTAGAAGTGGATTGGCTTTGATACACACCTTGAAATATGTCATTCTGTGGCCACTTCTAGCTGGCGGGCCTTTGCCTTTGGTTTCGAGACGAGTCCATTCTCTGGTGGCAGGGTCGAGATGCCAAAAGTCATTATAATGATAGAACGTCCCCTGCTTTGGTGAGGAAAATTCACCTGGACATTGTAGGCAACAGTTAATAATGAATTCATCCAGGATACTTGCACAAGGCTCACCTCCGAATAAATAGACACCTCCGGCATTTCCTCCACGGCACCATGCATGCCCGCTTCGAGGTAGAGGGCTGTTGGGACTGGTAACTTCCTTCCACTCATCTCGATCAATGTTGTAGACGAAGAGATTATTGAAGAACGTAGCAAGCGTGCCATCAAAGTGCTCGCCACCAAATATCAAGAGCTCGTTCCGGTTTGAGGGAGACGCAAGTATTGTAGCAGAGGTACGTGGAGACGGCGGTCCTGAGACTACCTCAGTGACCTTCAGAAATTTAGCTTGCTCTTCGGCATATTGGGCTAGGATCGCATCCAAATCGATGTCTTCTGCGTCACTATCTGCGTCGCGACCCTTCGTCTTGTGCCTCTTTTCTTTTTGCGCAGCCTTCTTGGATTGCTTCGCAGCTACCCGCTCCTTGTGCTCGGCGGACTTCTTATTTTTCTTGCCCATGTTGGACAATTAGTGATGGACTGGGATTGACTTCTATGTTTGTACCCTCTGATGTCCTTCTAGCCTGCTGGATGTAGGCCCCTGTGAGTGAATGTGAGGCAATTACTTCTCCTAATTGATGCCACAACGGAGCAAATCGTATGGCGCGGGGGTTTGTAGGGGTTAAAAAAATGCGAAAAGTTCCCCGCAATTGGCCACTTATCTTGTAAACCAGATACAACCGCAGACACAGACACAGACACTGCTATCGATGAGAACAGTAGACATATAGACTTTGCAAATGCCTAATTATAAAAGGTCTAAAGCCACGAGCGATTTCACCTACAATCTGATTTTCGTGCAGAGCGCGACGTCTTTCGGAGACACTACACGAGGGTATGATCCTCCAGATACCACTATAGATATACCAACCTAGAGTAAAGAATAGCAGGGGTCAAGTTTATGAGACTGGAATCAAGTACAGCTTCAGAAGAGCTTCAAATAAAGTTAAATAAGTAAATAAAGTCCTGGGAAGAGAAGTTAGATTGTCTCGAGAGCATACAGTTCCTGAACACTGATACGTCTGGATACCTGCCAGAATTTGATGGCATCCGCGATAAGCAGATAAGATATCCTGTTTAGAAGCAACCCCACGTGACAGCGTGT